TCAAGTAATTTTGAACTTTGAGCAGCAGCGCCGCAGTAGAACAAGTGAGCCTACCAAAGATATATCTGCGCAGCAATGGATGAAAGGACTGTCACCAAATCCACGATAGCTCGGTGGTCCCAAGGCTTTAGAACAGAAGATATACATTGGGTATCAGGAATCATATTACTTATTCGTTCATCAAGGTAATCAAATAAGCTCAACCTTAACAGTTGCTTTCTGATAGTGCTTTTTACGCTCTTTCCATACGTATGCAAATTACCTCGAATTTTCTCATTTTCGAAAAATTATTAAAAATTAATTAAAAATTATTAACATGAATTTTAGTCTGAAAATCTGCCCCAAACATCGCACTTTTTCGAATGAAGTGCCTTTTTTGTATGAAATAATGGGCAATTCTTGGATATTTAAGTAATCATTAGAAAGAGCTTGAAAAGCTCCTTCGAATGGTATGCCATATGTCGAGGGAGTTTCAGGTGCAGCAGCACAAATTCGGATGTTCAAAAAAGTCCTTCTGACTTCTTTGGAGCGCCGCTCGAAGGAATATCGGTGAACTGCTGCAAGGTGATGTCAAGATAATCTGCAAAGGTCACTTTATGCAAAAGCGTTCAAATTACTGGTTGTTAACAGCTAATCAGAAAGAGATCTTGAAGAATGTTTAAAAAATCAAGGTGCCTCATTACTTTTGGATCACCCTAATAGAAATGAGCAAGTGCATATCGCACAAAGTCTGAATCCGGTCTCGTCGTTGTTTTTCGTTTTTATTTATCCATACACTTTCCTCTGTCATCTTTGTGTTTACTGAAGTGTTCTATAAGCACGTGTGCTAATTCGAAGCGATTCGGACAAGGACAGTGTGTAGGCAGTTTTTCTTTTTTCAAGATGCTTTTCTCTTTAATTTTCATCAAAAAGGCCCTCCTGGCTGGTGAGTTCCGGGAGGGATAAATATCTTATTTTTTTCGTCTAAGGGCAGGAACATATTGGAAGATTTTTATCCATTTTTGTTTGCTTACGAGCTTTTTCTACTGCTGTTATTGATAATGTACTAGTTTCCAAATTTTAAATCTTTGGTCATGCTAGCTTTGGCAAAAAACACTTTTTGAATGACTGCATTGAGATTGTGATTCATACATGTTCACGCTGACTTAGTACTATACTCGTGCCTCAGTCTTGATCTTACACGTATCTTTCGAAGTCAAGATTTCGTGAGCTAGCTCTTCCTTCCATTATTAGAAGACTGCTTTCTACTTTTGTCTGTTGTCCTGGTGCTTTTCGTCTTCCGTCGTTTACACCCAGGGTCAAGCGTGTTGATGCAATCCTGGACCCTCGTTTACGACCCCCCCCCTTGAAGGTACCCATCCGTACGACCTCCCCCCCCTCCCTCCCCCCCTCCCTCCCCTTTCCCCATCTATCCCCCTTACCTCCCCTGCCCATATTTCTCGCGGTAACCTGCATAAACGAATGTCAATCTCAAAAAACACCTGCGTGAGAACTTCAGTGAGGTTTCGGAAGCAGAATTTCTAGGCCAATGGGTGCGCCCACCATCTCTAGCACATATACACACCTTCAATAATGTTTGAGATTCTGCAAGTTTACTTTTGAATTTTCAGGCATACTTCGGTCAGCAAATTCGATTCCCGTATGCGACACAAATTTTCACACGGAGAACAAAATGACATTCTTAAACTAACAAAAGATGTTTTCGACTAAAAAGCTTACCTCCTACCTCTTCCACAGTTTTTCCAGCGAAAAAAACCGCTTTAGCGCCGTCCAGAACGGCGTCAAAAACGTGCACGAGCACGGTAGTTTGAAAATTCGTAACTAAGGCCAGGAAAAGATTGAGAGGCTGCAAAGAACAGGGTCCTGTAGCATAGTGCCCAGACTAATCATAGAAGAAGTTTCAGCCCTTGAGGAGCAGTGAGCTTAGAAAAATTTAGATCAGGCTCTCACAAATTTAGATGCGATCCTAAAAACCAAAAACTGGGATTTTTGAGCTTAAATTTTGTAACTTACCAGAGAAGTTATAAAACAGCCTGGAATTCTTATGGTAAAAACTAGAGGGATGGCCTCGTAATACAGCAAGTTTGCAGCTAACAAGCTTCAATAACTCCGGAGAGATTTAGATCAGGCGCAGATACGACTCCCCTTTTCTCATTTTTTGCTACCATACATAAAATCATAAGAAAATCCGCAGATTATAAATTAACACCAGATTTCGCATAGCAGTAGCAGGGCTTACCTAAAGTACACATAAATTAAAAGGGCCGCATAAATGGCATTACAAAAAGATCTACGAATTATTGATTGTCATCGTTGATCTACATGTGCGCTTTTGTCGAGTGTGCGAGTCTTCAGTGAGCCTTCGGAAGCAGGATGTCTACACCAATCGGTACATCCAACATCTTTATCACACATACATGCCTTCAGTAGCATTTGAGCTTCCGAAAGTGTTTATTTTTTGGATTTTAGTCTTGCCAGCAGGGTTTGAGACAATATTTTGCGGGAGAAATAGCGATTCCCATAAAAAAAACTAAGTCATAATCTTTTAAAAGTGCAGCAAATGAAGCGAATTTCTACGCTTGCGAGTGTTTTCAAATTATTGTTCACTCGTTTTTATTTGATACATTGGTACACGGCATTCCATAATTTATTGTTAAGAACATGTAATAATTACTTGCTATTTGATTTGCTTTCAATCGTACGGTTTTTTATCCAAACCACCCCCTCTTACGACCCCCCCCCCTCACCGTAGGCCCCCTTTACGACCCCCATTGCGACAGTCGCATCACACGCTTGACCCTGTTTACACCTCCTGAAGCAATTTCATATAGGACAACTTAGCCGACAAAGGTGCGAACAAAGTGTTACGGGACGCTGTTTATGATTCTTCTCCTTCATGGTAAAATGGAAGAAATGGGCTTGTCACCACTGGTGAAGTGAAAGCACGAAAGAGCTTTTTTTACTAGCTCTGAGAAAAGAAGTGGAGGAGGCTGGCGCAGGAGGGATGAGAAAGTCCAAAAGAGGACAAGAGGAAAGTCTCTTGCAGGAAGAGCGAGGAGGAGCCGGTGGCAGAAAGGCACGGAAAAGCCAAGGTACTTACTGAAAAAGTGTTCTCTTTCAAAGTCTCAGATGAACTTGCCTTCAAGAAGGACTACCTTATCAGTAAACGGGTCTTCTATAAAATTTGCACTTTTGAAAGCAGGCTTCAACGCTCAAGCGAGCGATCAAAGCCGCTGTCGATTGTTGCCATCCGCCTCAACCTGCTGCGACCGAACACGAAGTAGAGAGAATCTGCAAGGATGGTAGGGTGTGGTCAAGCAACGGTGAGCTGAGTCCTTGAGGGCTTTGTCGAAGCACCATGTTCCTGCGCTCAAAATTACATCTTTTGGCTAGGAGAGGAGGAGAGGAAAAGAATAAAGAATACAAGAATACATTATACATGTTTACAAACTTCCAAACATCTTTGGCTTCATCGACGGCTCACACGTGCGCATAGTCACTCCACACGAGAAAGGAGCCGACTACATAAACCAACAGCAGTTTTATTTTATGAATGTCGGCCTTACCTGCGACGATAATAAGGTTTTGCTGGGTCAGCGCATTGTTTCCTGGGTCGGCTCACGAAAGCCGTGTATTTAAGAAATCACAACTATATCAGGATATGAAAAGCGGTAGGAAACCCAGATGTTTGGTGGGCGACTCCGCACATTTTGAGGAAAACTTCTACATAAAAGTGATGGAGAACCCATTCACGGAGGCAGGTGAGATCTTTACTTTCCCTACTTGAAAATGCAATAACTTCTCAGAAATTCGTTATAATCGCGCAATCTGCGCTGCTCGTTCCCACATGGGGCGTGCCATAGGAGTGCTCAAGGGGCAGCTCAAGATTTTGGGTGAGAAGTGCCGATAGGTTCTTTTCCGATAGTTCGAATCGCAAAAGAACTCGTTTGCAGATACAGACTGGAACTTGCAACTAAGATCATCGTTGCATGGGTCGCTTGGCGAAATATTGCCATCGGCAAGATCGAATCCATAGACGAATTTGTGGATGCTGACGAGACGACTGGAGATGAACCTCAGTTAGTAACGTCTTTGTCGCGAAGGGCGCTAAAAAATAATAAGCAATTATTTTATGTTAAAGCTATTCATGGTCAAATCTCTGACTTTATCATTCATTACCTTAGTCTTCACTTGAGCTGTTTCGTCTTGTAGTCAAAAAATAACGTTTTAGCGCAAATGACAATTTCAGGTTCATTCAATGTCATTGCTTACTTATAATAAGTTGTAGAGGTATCCGAAAATACTCGTTTATAAAATATCTTTAATGGTCGTTACTATTTTCGGTAAACTGTTGCAAGAACGGTCTAATTCTCATAAACTTCCAATACAATGATAAGCTTAGGTTAAAAAACCTTGGTCTGGATAGTCGTTTCTGCTCGTTGTTTTTTCTAACTTCAGCTCTTCATATTCAAAACGAATGTTCATTCTGGTGCCTTGCGTTCTCTATCTGTAGATACAAGAGATCGACGGTCAATTGTTCGTTCCTTTCTCTGCATCATTATGCAGTTCTACCGACATTTGTTCGCTAAACTAAATTAAGTCCATGAGGAAACAGTACATTTTGACTGATCTTGAGAACTTACAGATATTCGTAATTGTCAAAATTTGCATGCTCGAAGCTGGGCTCAGTTTCTACTCTTTCACTTTGGTCCTTTGATTGGTCTTTTGATTCACCTCAGTGCGTTTCTGAAACACGCTGAGGTAAGGATATCAAAGTGTTCTTCGAATCATTTACTCATTTGTTGGCGGGGCATGTGGCTTTGATGAGGGAGGCTGAAAAATAAGTTAGCATGAAGTAGGTATAAAACTGATCGTTTCGACGAGGAAGGTTGCTGAAGAGGCATCAGTAAGCATATGAATGAACATACCAAATCTTTTACAGCTAAAGCATCGCCGCCAGAAACTTTGATCGCGCATGCAAGACCTTTCAAACGTGGTTCTTAACCAATTTTATCTAATGAAATTGCGATATGTGAAGAAACTTTCGGTTCAATGGGATCCCCCGCCGGTTTTATTGTGGTCAATTTCCTGAAAGGCCTTCGCACGAGTTCTGGAACATTGTTGAGTGTACTTAGCTCCTGGACAGTCCTTCTGAGTTTTTTCAAAGTATAGGCACCCGTTGATCTATTGTGTGATGGTGCGTTGTATGACCAGCCTTTGTCAATATCCGACCTAGTTTTTCCAACTTGTCTCATTTCGCCTTAATGAAAATTTCGAGGAATTGAACATAATCTCAGTTTGAAGTGCTTTACCTTCATTGCAAGCTGCCGGCTTAAGCGGGCGAACTTCAAATGAAACACATCTCAGTTCTCGACGTAAAACTGACTCAATGATAGACAGCTCCTCTGGCGTCAGAACCCGACTCTAGCATCGTTGATAGTGTGAGCAGTTGGGAAATACGGCAAGGAACCTACTCTAGTCTTGATGACTTCCATCTTCTTCAATTGTTTGCAGCACAAGAACAAGCATTCGCCTTCAAAGCCAAATTCGCCAACAACGGCCTATGCAAAAACATACATGAATACCAAAGGCTAGATAAAAAGCACGACAGTTGAGTGCGAAAGTATCAAGAGGACATCATATTTCGTTCATAGTTTATTATTATCTTGTGCTGATACATCAGCAAAAACACTATTAATAGTTTTTCTGGAGAAGCATAGTTTGAATGCCGGTGAACAACGCATAGCACTCATTATGGTCATAGTAAGCCATGTCTTCTATCGCAAAGCAGAACTCAGGATTACTTACAAATTGAAGTATGGTTTGAAGACACCTAGAAATTTACCATGCATTCTTTTTCTAGCAACAACCCGAAACAGCGGGGCCGTAGTCCATGCTGCACAAAGATTATCCGTGCACAAATAGCTATTCGAAGTGAGATAACGTAAAGGATAAGTCTCGTATGTAGTGTAGTCCATTCCAAAGAAAAGCGCTTACCTTTGCCATCAAGAAATTGAACTCGCTTAGATTTCTCAATGGACTAAAAACACTAAAAACTCCTTATCGTCGGAGATCTCAAGAAAACCAAGAAAAGTGTATGAGTTATACATGTAAAAAAATCCAACACCAAAATAACAACAACTATATGGGAGTGACCAGAAAAGAGATGAATTGAGAAGATACGAGATAGAAATGATTATTCATCAGTCTGGAAGAAAGTGATAAAAAAGATTTAAAAGTTGAGAAATGAGAAAATCTTTTTCTTCGGAGTACAAGGGCATTTCTGAGAAAATGCAACGAGCTGGAGAAGACAATCGCAAAGGAAAAAATAGATAGGAATGATTGCTCATCATTCCCCAATCCGTGTTCACCTATCCAATCACCGTTCGTAAAATCAGCACGCGAGTTCTCCGAATGAGGATTGCCGGGGAGGGGGGGGGGCGGATTCTCGACTCCACAATCGATTCAGGAACATGAGAAGGCCCCAGAACGGCATAAACATGGAAGTCAAGAATCTGGAGGTTGGCTCGAAAGTTCTGAGACATTTTTAGACGAGATCTGCTACTTCTCCAAACTTAATGCATGTAGATCCGACTGAGGTTCCTTTCGATAAAGCAAAGCAAACTCTATAAGAAGGTATACGAAAGTTTGCACCAGCTTCGACCCAGCGTAAGTTTGCATCCAGAATCTGAATAGTACTGAAGGCTCGAAAATTGGGAAAAAATCATATCTTCGTTCAAATAAATCCTAAGAATCTCCAAGTTGCTCATGCAGATTACACACCACATCAGAAACCTATAAGTATCATTGCTGTACTTTTTCCTCATCTAAAAATCGGGAAAACGTATTTTTCATTCTGACTGATTTGTTTAGCAGCGTCCAAGATTGTACAGATATTTATTCCATAATAAACAAACTGACGTTTCGGCAAACTCGCCTTCTTCAGAGTTTGAAAAGTCGAAAACACATAAGTGAACTATCCGATCAAATATCAATAAGATTCAAACTATGCCAAGATTTATGGATAGTCGAATATGGATTCTGATGAACGTATTTTTCATGTTTGTACAAAAACGAAGCTACGCTGTTCCCACTCATGTTGTATAGTACAAGCCCTTAGAATTATAACGTAAATTTTTAGGTTTCTACGGGCCCTGCTCTAATATATAAAGAATCGTAAGCGCAATTCAAAAACGTGCAAATAGCGGGAAACCGCGCGGCGGTTCCGAAGAGAACGCTCTTGCAAATAGCACCTTTAGATTACTGGTTCACTAGTTTTCGAAAAAGGTTGTTAGCATGGAATACCCAAGTGAGGAGAGTTCAATTCGGTATCGGAATCTAGGGCCTGTAGAAAGCTGAAAATTTACTTATACTTTTAGGGCTTGTATTACACAATTACATAAGTGGAAAAAACGTAGCTTCGCTTTCGTGTAAACATGAAAATTTACATTTTTTTCCATTTCTAGATGAGGAAAAGATGTAGCAATGACAACTTGGAGATCCGTAGGATTTATTTGAACGAAGATATGAGTTTTTCCCAATTTTCGAGCATTCAGTACTATTCTTATTCTGGATGCAAACTTACGCTGGGTCGAAGCTGGTGCAAACTTTTGCATACCTTCTTGTAGAGCTTGCTTTGCTTTATCGAATGGAACCTCAGTCGGATATACATGCATTAAAGTTTGGAGAAATAGCAGATCTCGTCTAAAAATGTCTCAGAACTTTCGAGCCAACCTAATATGATAATCTGAACTTTGGATGACCAAAAATCTCTTTTATCCCAAGCGAAAAAACATGTAAATATTTTGATAGATTGATGTACCAGCCATTATAACGAGGAGATCGACTTGTTTTTTAATATTCATGAAGGTGGTGACATCCTAGCTAACAATTGGAAAGTGCTGGTCGAAGTGGTCACGAACATGAGCTGTGTGCCATCAGATATAGTACGATGACTACAAATCTTCTTTCAACATTCTTCCGTAGATATTTTGCTAATGGATTGTGATGCCTTCAAAGTGGAATCTAAGCAAAGAGAGTGACAAACCATAACAGCATTACAACCCCCACGGGGGTGATCAGCATGCTCGATTACCCCCCTGTACCAACTCCCAGCCCCGTAGCTCAGATTTTGCAAAAAATCGATAAAACCGATATCGATCGATGACGAAAAGTAGCCTATGACACCCGCCGGGGCCCGAAGTGTATGTGTGCCAAGTTTGGTCCGGATCGGTTCAGAAATGGAATTTTCTATTCGGAACATATGTACACACATACAGACAGACAGACAGACATACAGACAGACATACAGACAAACAGACATTCAGCTTTATATATAAGATTTTCGTCTGTGAATATGGAGGAAAACTGTAAAATGCAAATGATTCACACAAAAGCCTTCGTTCGAGCTGTTCAGGGACCACTAGAAGGAAATCTAGGACTACGAACCAAAATGTTGCTGTTGTGATTTTAGTCATATAAAATCACTTATTCCTTAATTTCTACATCATAAAAAAGTACAAGTAGGTTAGGTCGCGCCTATGCGATTCAAAAAACGGCTCTTGCAAAAAAATGGCTTTTATTCGAACCCATTTTCAAGAGTTTCATTTTAGTCTAAACAGCTTTATTTCAGGTTTCATTGGGACTGCCTTCCCGCAAAGGTGCCAAGGAAAAAAACAACATGCTTTGGTTCACTCCGATAAATTTTTTTTCGAAATTAGTTCTATTGAGGTAACGAGAGTAATTGAGATGACTCAGAAGCCGTTTAGCGCTGTCATGGAAGCAAAGCAATCCAAATTCTTTATTAAAGCATCTCAATTACTTTCAAAAAACCTTCTACTTCAAAGTGTATCCGACACATATACTCTGTCAGAAAAGAATACATCAGGTTAGTGCAAGCACTGTACCATCTTTGATATATCCATGATTCCTTGCTCTAAATAGAAGCAGAAAAATAAAAACACTCAAACTTCGGCATTTTAAATCAAATAGTCAAATATATAGAGCTTGATAAAATTTGGAGCATGCGGTGGTATAAGCATTACTGCAATCTTTTTGGTCGCGCATTTTGTGCTAATTGAGCTTTTGTGAAAAATTGTTATTTCTGGAAAACAGCATAAAATTGCTAATTTGATTTTTTGCGCTTTTTTTCGAAAATCATAACTTTTAACAGAAATGCTCAATTAGCACAAACTTTGATTAGAAAGAGTGGTTCGTAAGACTGTGTCACCGCTTGCCCCAAATCAAGTATTTAATTTTTAGCAATCCAGCCAAAATGGCCTTAACTTGAGTGTCTTTATGGTTCTGCTTCTATCTCAAAGTCGCGGCAAAGAGATGATTACAAAGTAGATAATTTTCCTTATCGAAGAAAAATAATTTTATGGAAACCTTATAGTGAGCAAGGAGCTATAAATCAAAACAGTGCGACAAAACTTTTGCACAAACCTAATAAACATTGTGCGGACTACGCCTATTCGCTGGTTCGCCTCTTGGACAGTAGACGCGCTGCTCTGTTTTAAGCAAATCTAGTTGAAAACAAGATGGCACCTATGCCATCAATTATACCATCAATGATCATTTTCAAGAATATTTAGTGCAAAACAGGGTCATTATTGCTTAGAAAACAGATTGAACACACGCTGGTAGGTAAGGAACGCAAAGTCTTTGTAAAAGCTGCAAACCTGTCGATGACATATCATATTGGAATCGTGGAAAAACGCTGGTACTCCATCTCTGGAACCTACAGTATGTACAAGAAGAAAGCATAAACTGCTTCGAAAAATGGATTCCGATAATAGAAAGATACCCTTTCAAAAACTCTAGGTATGTAAATCTAATGTGAAGCTTCTTAACATTTTTGCAATCATTAAAACGTTTTAATCGAATTACGTTCTGATTCATTAATGACTAAGCTTCTTGAGCTGCGGGTAGGGGAACGACCTCCGCCAGTCTGAGCCCGTCTTCGCTGGCAACTTGCCTTTTTGCTATATTGTTGCATGTCGTTGCAGGACCAGTAGTCCGCGGAGGCGATTAAAACTGGCGGAGTCCGTCCACTCCCATGACCTGCTTTCAATCACAGCTCAGTTTCTGCATTTCTGTTAACACTTGTCCAATCAGCCTCTGCCAGTAGCGGAATTCTTGTGTAGCGCTTCATAGTGCTAATATACATTGATAGCAGTGGCGTACCAAGGGGGGGGGGGCAGGGGGGGGACCCCCCCCCAGAATGGGTCGCGAAATTTTTGAAAGTTACTTATATGGGTTATAAAAATGTGTAAGCGACTTGTTTTTACTTGTAAGTAATTAAAATAATTCTTACAAATTTTTAAAAATTCAAATTAGCCTTGTAAAAAAATTTTTTTCCAGATTTTAGGGGTTGGGGACCCGCAGAAAATTTTGAGAAGCACCCCAAAAATCTTTGGAGTGCGTGGCTGGGGCCACGCACCTTCATCCGAAAATTTTTGTTTCCCCCCCCCCCCCGAGCGGAAATCCTGGGTACGCCACTGATTGATAGGTATGGAAATACTAAGCAATGGTTACTATGACTGAATTTTTTTGGAGAAATGAAGATTTATGTGACATTCTCTGCTGATCATTTGATATCAAAATTATTTACAATGTGTTTATGGGTATCCTGTCATATGCCATGGTAGAGTAAAAAAGGGGAACGTGCTATATATGAGTTCTGATGTGCCATACCATTGCAAAGATAGTATGTACAGCCTTGAGGCATTGAGGCAATAAATTATGGCGTTTTATTACTCTTCTTCATAAGGATACACATTTCTACAAAAAAGGCTAATAAAAAATGCTATCTTATCTTCTGCCATAAACGTGACAGACACAAAAATTCCAATTTATAAAATCTTATTTAAAGAAGATTATTCGGGTAATCTACATTGTTTTCTCATGCCCTTGCAAGAGTACCACCCTTATGTAGCTCTTGTATCTAAAGAATTTTACAAAATAAGCCCTTTACTAAATGCGAAATAGAGCTGTTCATCAGTACCTGTCATTGTTGCCATTGGTCCGTAGCTGTATAGAATCATTTACTATTTGGGTACTCATGCTCGCCTAGTGTAAATTTACAAAAGCTCTGAACATGCATTCGTGCAAAAGCTTAGTGATATGAATCATCACGATAATCAAAATTCCTCCGATTGCCTAAACTTAGTCTTCCCTTCATCTCTCTTTTCTGCATGCGCTTCAAGGTTTTTTTTGACAATTAAAATTCAAATTCCTTGCATATTACTGAAAAATGCTTTGCAGGAAGGCAGGGGATCAACAATGCTACCGTTGCTCATTTTGCTTGCGACTGCGTTGGTCGTACAGCCCATTACAGTAGGCAAGTTGTTAGCCGAATAGTTTCATGAAATCGTGGTTTTGCAAAGGTAAAAACCTTTATGATCCAAAGGCGGTGAACTTATGTCAGCGAGATCTTGAGGTCGGTAAAGTTAGATAAAGCTTTGTACAGCGGGAAAAAAATCGACCTCGAGTACCACCAAAAACCAACGAAGCAAATGCTACGGAAGAGGTGCAGTAATGAGGTAATCATAATTCAGAAAAGATAGCCCCTTCGTGAGGAACTTTGTTTAAGGAGTATATCAGCCCTACAGCACCACTCCAAACTGGTAATATGTTTAGAGGCAGTGAATCAGCAAAATGGACCTTTCTCGTATTTTGGTAAATTTAGGTAGTAGAATTCCCAAGTACATTGCAGCCTCACCCCCACCCTCCAATTCATGCGCTGAGTCCTGAAAATGCGTCTAAAAACTCTGCCAATGACGCCCAGTCAGTGGAGGGCGGGGCTGGTGGAGTTTTGAAGCGTGCTTTTAGAAGTAAGCGCATGCATTGGCAGATGGGATTTGGGCTACAGTATGGGTGGGGGGGGAGGGGGAGAGGAAGAAGTCTAATACCTAAATCCATTAAAATCCGAGAAGGGTCGTTGTTGCCGATCCACTGCCTTCAAAGGAGACTAGAATAACTGCTCGATAAGGAGCAAAGGGTTTAAGCTTCAATGTCCTATAAGAAAGTCTTTGAACGCGCTTCAAGAATTCACGTTTTGATGTTATTTTCCTTGACGTGTACTTTGCATCGGTAAGAGGGCCAAGGATATTCGGGAAGATTGACAACTGAATTATAAAGAAGAACGTAGAGAAAAGAACATAAAAGTAAATTTTTTCGTCATTGGTTATAAGCTTTTCAAAATCTCCTAATCAGAAACGTACTCATTTCAAAGTCACAACATAAAAGCTTAGACAACGAGATTATTTGGCTCGTTATTCACAAACATTGAAAGTTGTGTGTTACTTCCTCCTAGCTGGAAGCAAAGTCTTTCGCAAATCTCTATGGCTTTTAAATTTTTCCAAATTACATATGCAGTCTGTTAGGTAAGCTTCTTCAATAGCAGCTATTAATAAACCATAAACAGGGTTATCCCTCAGATGGGGTTCAGTAACAGGGTAGTCGAAAATAACCAGGACGTTGCTTCTGAGCTATTTTTTCAGCAACTTTGATAACGCAACTGTTGTGCAACTAGGGGCACCATACATAGCATCATAGTCGACCACCTTTTGAAGATAGAAAGTTTACAAAAATGTGAGTACTTATGATGTGAAAACATATGGCATTGCAAATCGTTTTTTTTCTACACCTAACTCCAAACCTCTCTTCTGAATTAATGGTTTCAGAGTACAAAATCATTTCAAACATCAATAGCATGAATTCAGCTCTGAGCTACGATTTTTATTATGCAAGAAATAATTGGATTTGCAACGGTTACTGGCTAACACTGAAAATTCAAACCATGCATATCCTGGCCTAGGCTTGCTACAAGAAGATTTCGGGCCACGTTCAATCACATAAAACTCATTCAAAAATTCTTAAAGATGATAGACAACCCCCGATCTGAAGCATAGTTGGCAAGGAGCGCATTTAGTACAATGATGTCAACGGCAAACTAATCCAGAGATCTTATACATTGATTCGGAAATATTTAGTGCTTGAAGAATTGAAATTTCAGATGAATACAAGAAGTTGCCAGTGGAGAAGGATTTCAAAGATATGACAGGTCAAGAAGCAGTGGACTACATAAACTCACATCAAACATTCTACAAGGTGCCATAAAGCCGAAAAACTTCGAAAGACGCATAAAAAGCTTTTAAGTACAACCTTGCAGGCAGCTTACAAGCCAGGAATCGAGGAATTTGTGCAGTCGCGATTGATGAAATCAAAGTACCTTGATGATCCACTTGCCGACAAGCTGATGCCACGCATAGAACCTGTTGGAGACGATCCTCTTCCAGAAAGGTGAGTATTACAATAATATTGATAAAACTGCAAGGAATTTTGCAGCACCATCCATGACATTGTGACTCTTTGTTTGCACCTTAAACGCAAAGATTTGAAGGCATTGCCTTATTCGACGGAGGTATTGGAATCTTGACACAATATTAGAGCATGGCTCCCGCCAAACGCAACAGTTCAAGTCCCATCGAAAAAGGTGGAATCTGAAGCGAGAAAAGTGCTTCGGAAAAAATGGGCGGTACTCCAATCCCGCCCCTTGACAAGTTTTGACGTGGCCAATTCAGTAGATCTAGAGCATTCGCCATGACAAAACTTGTCAAGGGGACGGCAAGCACTTGCGTTGTGAGACGGACTAGACGAGTCAGCATTCGTGAGGTGAAAGGATGACCTTGTTCGAGCGTTTTAGATAGAAAGCTGCAACGCTTCCAGATCTGAGACTCGGGCGAACTCATTGAAAAAACATACCACAGAACTCATCGAGCTCTCAAAACTAACAAAACTATAAAAAAATCGCACCGGAAAATTGAAAGCAAATGTGCATTACCATGATCTCCGATCGCTAATTTTACATCGTTTTCCTGTTACCAGGAAAACCCCTTTCAAAGAAGTTGAAAACGCTTGAAATTCGGAATTTGTCGGTGATATATGTCTCTATTCAGCTTTCAAGAGCGAATCCTTTTCTTATAAACACTGTTCAGAAAAGATTTTGCGACAGTACATCAACGTTTAGCTCGCTTTCGCAAATGCTGGCTTCAAATTTCAGTTTGCCACTGTATAAATCCAGAACTATTACTGCAGCATGAGAGAACGAAAAATAATAGTGCTTTGTTTGTCTAAAAATTATTCGTCGCTCTTTCTAAGTCTGAGAAATGGTTATTGTTTAATTTGAGGGATGATCATGATTTTTTCGGTATTTCTTTATCAGTAGGTTGGCTAATAAATAATTTCGGTCGCTTTTGCGGGTCCTACAGATGCTGCACGCAACTTTTCGTCCAGTATTTGGTACCTTTGAAAACAACACTTAAATGAGAAGTGGAGCATATAATCTTTTGAAGTAGAATTTCTTTTGCGATGACAAATACCCGCAAAGAAATGAGAAACCCCTATTTTCTCATCGTTCACAAATATGCGAAAATTTGGTTTGTTTGGTGACAGAATTTCGGAACAGCAGAGCACAACATCTATCGATACTCACTAAGTAGGGAAAACATATCTTTACTCAAATACGAATTTTCTATTCTCTACATCCATTAGAGCATGAAGACGAAACTTTCAAAGTCGCAGAATTGAGCACTTGACATTGTAGTCATTCTAAGGCATACCTGTCTTTCTTTAGAGATTGAAAGTTCTGAGTAGTTGATATGTGATAGAGGAAGCCTTGATCTGTTTATCCACAAAAAATCATGGTTAAAGAACAGTTGGGAAAGTTTTTGTGAAGATTTTTATGCCAAAACGAAAGTTCTTTTTTAGCCAACCTAATATTTTGAAAATGAATTGCTAAAAAGCAGATACTTTGCGCAGTTACCACTTTGAATCAGAGCAGGAAGCATTTCTAGTGTTGATCACCAGAAAAAGTCATAGATCAATTTCCTTGTCGAGTTTGGATACTAAAACAAAATTTTCAATAATCTATGTTAGTCACTCAGGATTTTGATTGTGTATGGAGACGTGATTAACAACCCTATGAAAATAGAAGGTTTTTATCGTTTATCTGTCCTATCGCTTGGTATCATATTAAACTTGTGCAATTCTAACTTATCAGCAATTCCAACGCATTTTTATCACAAGCAAGATCCTGATGAATTTCAAAGAAAATCATACCCAGTAAAACGTAGCATTATTAAGAAGCATTCACACATTTCAGCATTTATTTCGCTAGCTTCTATATTTCAAGAATATTCCGCGATGCCCCGTATGCTCTAAAAAGAGATTCTTCATGTAGAGTTCTTTGCAAGAAAAAAACTTTTTCCAAACATTCCTTTTTTGGAGAAATGGTACTGAACTGATGCATTTAGCTTCGATCCACGCGATAAATGGACTAAATGTGCCAAGATAATCGGCCACATTCGAGACCAGTCCAATTGCGGTACGTCTTCACATCTTCGGAAAGAAATTTGCAAAATTCAGAAATTTAAATTTAATTTGAAAGTAGTTCAATTTTGAGGTGTGCAACGATAATTGAATTTACGACAGATAAAACTTTGTGAACTTTTCAGGTTCGTGTTGGGCAGTAGCGAACACTGAAGTGATGTCAGATCGTGTATGTATTCAGACAGACGCAAAATACACTGTAAGTGCGCAAACTTTAAGTCTGTTTGTAATCAAATAAACGTCGTAGTTTTCTAAGAAACAGCGAAACATAGAGATTGCCTAGAGTTTTGTGTTAAGCTTGTTAGGGTGGCAAAGATGGCAGAATACACATTGAAGCTATTAGGTTGATGCATAATTCCTGCGCCAAAATTTTTGAAATTGTTACTTTATCCCAAAATGAATTCTTCTGCTTTGATGCATAATAAGAAGAGAAAATCTTGCTTTTTCTGATGGTGCTCGAAACGGAATTCTCGACGGCATATGGCAACGATATAGAGTGATTAAAGGAAAACCCCAAAAAAAGAGTTTTCGACTTTTTGTCATTGAAATTGCTGAAACGTTTACTGAAACTTAAATTTATTTCTGATCTTTTTTTATGGCATACTTTTTTCAACTAACGGAAATTGGCAGTGACTGTATGTCCCTGCAAATAGTTACAGATTTTATTTTTCTAAAACTGACTTACTGATTTTGTTTCATACCGATTTTTAAAAATATTAGTTTGATGCAAAAATAATGAGCTTTTTCTTATTTTTTACTTTATGCTATAACTTTCTATAAAATCTATATTTTGAGATGAGATAAAGACCTCAAGATGCAGCGAACCTTTCGCAGTACAGCGCGCATTGAGCTACACTTATCTCATATGGGCAGAAAAATATGGATTGAAAAATGAGAAAAGTTTTTTTTGAAGTCTTGTTTTTGACAAAACATAACTCTTTTCACACTTTGTTATTATAATTTATAAGCAGCCTATCTTGTAGCCGCAAGCCAGTAGTATAAACATACATGGGAAGGGCTTGAAGGAAAAAGATTGGCGAAGAGGGAGAAATCGAAGTTCAAAAATATCAACTTTTTTCGCATTTTTTCAGTAGGCCCCGAAGTATAGAATTTTCTAATTCACTGCGTAGTGAACAGCTGGTTGTTTTTGCAAAAATTACCGATAGGATCCCTCACGCTTACGGAGATGAGCAAAGTTTGAGCGACTGCATTCTACAAAATAAAGTTATGGGCTCTGAAATGACCACAACATTACCCATGTTGAGCCGCCGATACCTCACTTTAAATAACATCAATAAATATGGCTAGGTATGCATAATGTAGACATTTTCCATTGCAAATAGCGGCTAAATTTTCGAAAAAGCACCTTCATTTGCGCTCAAGTTCTAGCCAGAAAAATGAATGCAACGAAAATCTGGGTTTGAGTGCGATTATTTGAAGCTCTATAAATTCTTAACAGAGTAGGCTAGAAGTCATTCTACATCATCAGATAGAGCGTGAAAAGAGCTTTCTAACAATATGCTTTACAAAGAGAGAAGTTTGATGGAGAATTGTTATCCTAAAAATGTCCTGTGGAAACGCTCATTGTTTTTGCACCAACCTAATATACTATAAAAACAACTTTGAGATGCAAACCAGTTTTTAGAGTTTTTAGATTCAAGTAATTGAGAGTTTCACTCGAAAATCTTTAGCATTCTGACAAAACATGGCGACTTTTGTGATGAAATTCTTGATACGACTTTGAAGACAACACTGACGAGCACCTGGTTTAGAGAATTAGTCTCCTTAATTTCTCTAGGGTGTTGAGCATGTCACAATTTCGTTTCATTACTGCTTTGTCTGTCGTTGCATTCGTGTCTTGTACTGGCGCACTGTGCACAACAGTGTATCAATAAATAAATAAATAAATACGATAGAGGTCGCAGGAGGCGATAGCTTTGCTGTTCTTTTATTTTCGCAATTAACTTGTTTACTCTTACACCTAAAATGGCGAACAAAGCGGTTGCGGCTAAAGTGTGTAATAATAGTAAAACGTGTCATACTTTTCTACAGCAGTAGAGTTGAAGAATTGTAGCTATTTCTTACGTTGTCTCATTAAAAAGACTTTCACGGTTTTCAACCTAAATAAGCCCTCAAGCTGATAAATAAGCTATAAATTGAAGCAGGCAAACAGTGCTCCTTCTTTATCCATTTGTTTAGGTACATATCTCTGATACCGACTTGCTTGCATGCTGCGGATCATACTGCGGTTATGGGTAAAGCTATGCAATTTACAAGATAGCATTTGAATCCATTTAATTTAGATGCGAAGGTGGATATACCGCTCGAGGCTGGACATACTTTACGTCATCGGGAATCTGCACAGGAGGGCCTTATGGTGATAAGGTTTGGTGAAATTATTTGAAATTTAACACTCAAGAAAATGTGGAGAATTTAGAACTGCTGCAAACCATACGCATTCTATCCATGTGGCAAACACGAAAACCAAACATATTACGGTCCATGTCCCTGGAACACTTGGGATACACCCGCATGCCGCAATCAGTGTCAACTAAAATATCGTAAGAGGGAATATGAGGACGACAAATTCTGGGGTAATTCTTTTTAAACTACACATGCAGACGAAGATATCTAATCCAATGTTCGAATGTTCTATCACAATACGGACACAACTAAACATTTATTATACGTATATTATTTTCCAGGAAATGGTAGCTACTATGTCGCTGCAAATGAAACTGCTATCAGGAGGGAAATATATAACAATGGACCAGTGCTCGTATCTTTTAGAGTCTACTCTGACTTCAGTTACTACAAAGGAGGAGTTTATATAGTATGACTTTGCAAATATCTAATGCATTTTTTCTTGTCTCTGATTCAAAAAACGCTATTTTAAGCAAAAATCTGGATATGATCAAGGAGGGCACGCCGTAAAAATGGTTGGATGGGGTGTAGATAAAACAGGCGCTTCACCAATACCTTACTGGTTGGTCGCTAACTCGTGGAACGTTGATTGGGGAGAAAATGGTATGCAAAAGTTTTGATTGTGTCTTAAGCAAACAAAATAGAGTATAGCAAAAAGTCATTAAGTTTGAATGTTTAGGTTTCTTCCGCATCATTCGTGGAACAAACGAGTGTAACATTGAAGGAAATGTAATTGGTGGACGTGTTAATCTCAAAAAGCTTCCCTAAATTGTGCTGCTTTTTCTGAATAAATGTTCATATTTTATTAGTTGCAAAAAAAGCAATTTTTCAACAAGCCTTTTCACTAAAGCTCATAATTAGCGAATTCCTTTCATTTTCGGGCTGTCTCCTTGTACTGTCGCGGGATTCCGTGACAGTGCTTGTGGTTTTGCAAAACTACTGTGATTTCTCATTTAACCCTAGTTCGCTGCTCATAATGACAAGGTCAGAGCATTATATCAGGTTGGTGCAAAGTTTTGTCAGTTTTTCAATCCATCGGCAAACACGCTAGAATGAAGATAAACAAACGCTTCAAAATGTATCCGATGCAGAATTTCTTCCTCTTTCCAGCTGCTAAACTCACATTGTGTTGCTTCTGCAACCACTCGTTTTTACCATGTCCATGACACTTCCCGAGGAGTCCTAATAACCAACAGATAGGGCAAACCTTTTGCCAATAGAAGCAACTTTTTTCTTTTTTTCAGCTGCTTTTTAGATTTTTGCTAAATAATTTTCTAAAAGTCTTGTGTTTTGAAAAAAATCGCACAACCTGTTATTGCACCAAACACTGCAAAACTACAGGATACTGAGGTTTCAGCACTCGATTATTACTATCGATACCATTACAAAGTAAATAAGCGCTTTTCGCTTCAAATTATGAAGAATTTGAAACATATGATACGTCGGGGCGCACTCCTAAAGTTGAGAAATACTGCGATTTTCTCAAAAAGTTTTGCCTGTCTCGGCAAAAAAAAAGAAAAGCCTTGGAAGGATGAGAAAAAGTTGCATCGGTCGGTGCTGAAGTGTTTAACATTTTATGTTCTACGAGGTTAAAATAGACTGAATGTAAAATTTGGTCACTTCAAAAAATAAATCGTAGAAATTTTGAAGGACAAGCCGCAGGGCTACAAAATTGCTTCTGTTGGCAAAAGGTTTGCCGTATCTGCTGGTTATTAAGGCTTCTTTGGAATTCTCTTAGAAAAATTTGGAAAGTTGGCGAAAGTTGGACATGGTAAAAATGAGTGGTTGCAATTTCCAGCAAATATCTCGTCGCAAGTTGAATAATAATTTCAACCCACATACTGCCTCCTATATATTCTACCGCGTACTATTCTATCAAATGTGTATAACCATTCTTTTGATTTCTTGTCGTTTGATCATACTGCCAATCCTTTTTCAAGTATACACTTTGCTTTATGCGTCTCATTTTCTCGAAATTCAGTTTTACATGAAAGGGTGTAGGTTAATCGAAGCAAAAGTTATATTTCAAAATAAAGTTTGATTGCAAGAAACCGATCAAAAATCTTCAGCAAATTGCTAGGTGCTGTGGAGGTCCCCGATCTTTCCAGCAATTCCGTAGCTCTTCATTGCAGGGATTTCGCAGCGCTTTCGCGGGACTTTCACTGGTGTCAAGGCGGAAATGCGGAAGTTCGGTTCAGTTGTCTGAGTTGGAAAAGCAGATTGACTTACGGAGCTTGCATTGCAGTTAGGTCGTGTTCAATGAGCAGCCCTTGTTGATGCTATGACAAATTGCCTACGTATATTGCTTTGAATACGTAGATTTATCATAAGTAGTTTGCTATGTGGAGACTAACTTTATTACGCACATGTATAAACTGCACTTTCTGGGTTTTCGCAAATTTTTACGTCTAGCGCTTTTCCGTGGTTTTAGTGCATTTTGAAAGTTCAAAATATACTAATAAGGGAAGCGGTGGTTTCAAATCTGCTTTTTCAAATCTGCCAAGCGCCTCTGAACGCCGAGTTATGGTCGTTTGCAGGTCAAAAAATTGAGCGCAAAACTGAAGCAAAATCGTCCAAATTTGCTCAAATGGTCCAGTGTCAAGTATCAGAGCAGTTTATGCGATGGATACATCTTGTCTAATATGCTAATACTTAACATTGCTTTATCTGAGCGCTGGAAAGATTGTAACAATCAATTTTACATAAATTCTGCATTCATTTTTCGTTCCGAAAAACGGTCGTAACTCGGCGTTTAGAGGCGCTTGGCAGATTTGGTAGGCATATTTGGAATCACCGTGCAATACTTTTTAAAGCAGTATGGGTATCATCTGAAAAGGACACTTCGACTAAACACGCTTCCCTTGTAAGTTGTTTCAAAAGTTCTGGATTTGCAATTTCCAAATTCAAAATGTTAAAACTCTTCTCAAAATAAACACTTTTTAAATCAAGTTTTGATGGATGTTGCGAGATAATGCTATCTCATGTACAATATGTCATGCGAAAAACGGGTGAAGTAGAAGAGAAAATTCAGTGACTTTTCCAAGTTTTGTTTTAAGACGTCCTTACTAATGCTCCCACATAGGATAGGCAGACATATTTGGCTACCACAAATAAGTAGCCCATACAGAGATTATTTGACGGCTGAAGATAATTTAAGTTGTGCTCGCTGCATGAGTTTTTACGAGCAAATAAAAAGACTTATTTGAGCCCTTCTCCACGCGTGCAATCATACCGACTTTCATTTGTTTTTCTTGCTGTCGCGAATGAAAAAAATTTTTAGGTTGTAAAGAAAGTTCCCGGGCACGCGAAAATTTTTTTAAATCGCTGTAACTTCAAGCAGATTGAATCTTTTTTTGAAGCTACAAACTTCGTTGGAAAGACAATTTTGTCCATAACAAATGTTTGTGTTGCTGGCTTCTCAGCACCTCACTGCGGTCCACCAGATGCGCAGAAGGGGAGAAGGTCGCCGCAAAAAGTCGCCCATTTGTGCAGGATTATCTCAGGCATGATGAGAGGTGGAGAGCCCAAATGCTGTGGTTATGTAGAGGTCTGCTGGAGCTGTTATGAGGACCATTTATTTCTTTGAGGGACCACCTGCAGAAAAAATTTTTTCAGAAGACTTGAAAAATCGACCATTTTTTGCCCCCCAAAAACGCACCATTTCTTGAGTATGTAATTTTGAAGTCTTCTAGTTCTGCACAAAAAGGACCAAATCTTCGATTACTGGGAACATTATTGGGGTAATGCCTTACACATCTGTTGGACCCATCATCTAGGCGTGGCGATCCCCGCAGAAGCAACGCCAGCTGCGAAAAGAGTTGCAGTCAGAAACAAGTTTGACAGCTTGTAATTTCTGAGCGCAAATCGCAAAACTCGAGTGCAGCGGCGGATCAGTAGTCAACAGGCTTCTCAATCAATTACCCATGAATTGGACGAAATTCTTCAAACTGCACGAAAAAATGGCGGTGGGAAGACGAATTGTGAAATTTTTGTAGTCGGAAAGATCTCCTTTTTTGATGTGCAGATCAAACACGTCCGGGCATCGATAAAAGCCAGAAGGCTCATTGAAAACTTCAGGCTTCGCTCTACTGAACAGTATAAAAAACTTGGTGTCAAAGTCTGACCGAGCGCCGAAAAAAATACGTTTGAAATTGAAATTTTCCAAAAATGCCCGGGAACTTTCTTTGCAACCTAATAATTATACGCTGCTGCATGACGAAGGCGCAATATCCTTGGGCGCGAACGCGGCTTCATTAGCCGCAGAGCGCATGAGGGGAGGGATTTACAACGGTGAGGATACGCGCGCACCGCGCTCGCGCCCGCTCCATCAATACTGCATCTGCGCCTTCGTCATGCAGTAGCCTTTAACTAATGGTCCCTGCTTACCTTCGCTTTTACTTTAACATATGGTGTTAGTAATTGTAAATGAACAGTTGTTCCTCGTAGAAATCTGCCTCGCGTAGTCGATCGCAACCTCAGAGAGCGCGAGAAATAAGCGCTTTAAAGGCGCTCACTCATAGACTTAGTCAGTTCTTGTTCAATCATTCGCCTCTCTTATGTTTACTGTTCCATTATTCTCAATAAGTATTCCTGTTTGCTCCTGTGCCGACAAGATGGTTCGAAGATTGTCCAAAGTTGGAGGGCACAACAATATGCAATATAGAATATATCACTTGTTGTTAGGCGTAGATTGCTGTCGCTTGTCGAATGATTTAGCTTTTCCCCAACTTTTGAAAAAAATTCGAAAAGTCAGTCATTTTCCATATGGAGAAACAGCATGCGTAGGTTAGCCCGTTACAACATTGATCATTATGAAACATTATATAGATAACTTCACGAGCACACTGCAAAATTTCACGCTATAGAAACTTTTCTTAATCGTAATTGCATTTTACTACCTAAACTTTAAAGCTTAAAATTTCCTCACTGAAAAGCTACCTCGTCTGGATTCACTAAGCGGTGGAAAGAGCGAGAAAAACGTTTCCAAATAATATTCATAATACTGCGACAAGGGCAAACTTCTAAGAAAATATTAGGGGTGAACGGTAAAAAATGGGGCACTTACGAAATAAGTGGAGGTTTCTCAAGAAAGAAAAGCGATTAGACTTTTCAATTTTGATAGATATGAGAGTATGTTATTCTCTTTTTCTTTATTCTCTTTTTTTCTTTTCTAAAATTGAAAGGCAATTTCAAGCATTTAACCTCTCGTCTGAAAGAGCATGAAGACTTTCGAAAGGTAGGTCTCTTGCTTTACGACTTTACGGTATAACAGCGCAGGATTGAGAATTGTTCCAAAAACCCTGTCTGAGTTCTTCACGGCGCCACGCGTACGGTAATGAGAGAGGAGCAGTAACGCGTTGCCAGAATAATAGGCTAAGGTCGGTTATGTAAGTGAAGTTTGAGTTGCAGTCTGCTTGTTGTTGTTGAGAACAAAAAACCTCAAAATGTAATAAGAATCAAGCTGCCCCATTACCGTTCACCCTAATAGCTGCCTTAAAACAAGGCAGCTGAAAATCGGACACAACTTCTGAAACAGCCCAGTAGTAGAGCATCCTTTTCTTTGATATGCTTGGCTCAGCCCCACTGTGTTTCGTAATAAAAAGATCCTGCGGCCTCCATCAGCCGCCCGTGGAATGTCATCTCTGTCACATTTACAGGGCAAAATATCATTTGCTATCACCATTTTTTATGCTCACCATTTTTTTATGCTCTCTAATTTTCTAGGGAGACTAGTAAACAGATGATGTCTTATCTGCTGTTTGAAAAAAAATAACAGAAGCTTTTTACATATGGCCCATTCATCTGAGTTGACTTGAATCAAACCTTGTCTATAGATGGTGGAGCTCGCATCATAAAATTTCCTGGTGAATGCCTTGATGTTTTTGTTGAGCGAGCAGTAAAGCAGTGATGGCCATGTGAGTGACAGAAATTACTGTAGCAGTGCACTCAGTTTTTTTCTAAATTTTGCTGGAATACTGCTATCTTTGCTGCTCAATCTCTAGCAAAGCCTAAAAGGTACGGTAAGATACAAAAGCAGGAAAATCACGCCTACGCTGGTAGCTCTCACAAGAGAGTGGTCAGAAGAGGCCAATATCCGAACAAGTTGCATACTATTAAATGCAGCATAAAACCCTTACTCTAAGTCTGTCTTCCTAATCTGTTACACTTTTGTGGAGGAAGCCATAAGCCGTTAAAAGCCATTATTTCGTTGAAATCGTGCGTGGAGAGTGCCAATTTGCCGAAGAGAGCCATGCTCGGCCTGACCAAAACATGCAGCCAGGTTATTTTGTATAGTCCAGTCCCTCCTTCCCAGTCCGGTAGCGTACTTGATTGTTGAAGTTTCTTTGATGAAAGCACTAATTGGGAATGGGCAGACAGTTGAATTGAGGGAAGCAAGCTTGCCAACATACAAAGCTTATCAATTGCAAGTTAAGGCACCAGCATTTTCGCTCCTGCGCGGCCGCCCCACTTCGACTTCGCACGTCCGCGAACATGCTCTTATATCAGGGGCAGAGCTTCAATCGCTAAATAAGCGTGCGAAAATGATCAGGGAGCGTGTTCGCGAAATAGGCGCAGAGTCCGGGAGAGGCGGCCATGTGAAGCGGAGATACTGGCGCACCCGACTCTGCAATTGATAAGCGCATCTAACACGAGCCTAATCGCTGTTTTCTAGGAGACAAAAATTCGAAAAACATAGGAACGGAACGGTGAACGGTCTCTACCTTCAGTACACGCTGTGGAACTTCCCATGATTGATAATAGGCACACAGACATGCACACGCTCATGGTATTTGAGTTTATGTAGCAAGAAAATCGATTTGAGTGAAAACGACAAACTCGTCCTTTATAGATTTTGAACTCGTTCCAACGGTCCGAGTCAAATAATGCTATCATAAAATTTTCGATCTTATAAATGCATTGTTTCCAAGATTAACAAAATTTTGTCCAAAAATCACTAAACTTCACATAAGCGATTAGGTTATCCCGAAAGTAATTCGTTCTCTGAATGCAAGCTGCTTTTGTTTTTAGCTGATTTGGGGCACAATCTACAGATTAAAGCGAACTCTACACAATGGCCGAAAATCCATTCTAGTCGTAAGTTTTGAGCCTCAAAAACTTTCACTTGAGATAGATTTTTGCGAAAAAAGTCCTATAAGGCTCCAAAATTCTCGTCGTTTAGAGGATACGATAGTATTCCTAGATGCAGCTGCTAAATTTCTTCTATGCATAAAAAGAAAACAAATACAATCTAAATGTGGCAAACTCCGCCTCCAACTTCCCTCACATATGTGGGTGTACATTGCAAGTTCTATCGCGTATATTCTTGCAAGTCCCCTTTGTCCGTGTTTTGGTAACCGAGAATTATCCAATACAACGCAAAAGAAAACTTAAAGAAGGTGGTCGATATGCGGAAAAAAATTCATTAAATGTATTCATGAGGTACTATGTGTCTAGCGTATGTCCAAATGTAGGTCTGTTCCTAATTTGGGAAAGAGATCCGATTTAAAAGAGGTCGAAAAAATTTACTTTTTGACTTCAAACCCTGGTTTACGACTTAAAGGCAGTGGCTCGGCAAATCTTAACCTAGTCAAATTTTCACTTACCTGGTTAGTCAATATCTGATTCCGACATTCCACTTCTGATAGCTTTAAAAAGCCGAAAACAAGAGTTTTTCAATGCCCTTCCTTTTGGAATTGGACGAGTGGGGTGGGGGAACGAAAGCCGCCAGGTCCAGCCACCCCCGCGGACTGCTGGTCCTGGAACGACATGCAACAACGCTGCGAAAGGACCAGCTGGCCGCGAAAGGCGGCTGGACCTGGCGGCTTTCGTTCCCCCACCCGGACGAGTGCAGCAAGGCTGATGAGCCGAATCGTTGCGGGACCCAATGGTTATAGCATTGCGGTGGGCAGCCTTCAATGGTGAGAAGGAAATTGTCATCACGTTCGGATGCGTGTAAGAATGGCCTGCGCGTGTAAGTTTGAGAGCAGTTTTCTCGTCAAGGAAGGCATGCTGTGCAACCGGGATTGCACTGTTTTCATACTTGGGCAATAAGGAGTCTACCGCGTTATAATTCTGAGTTGTTGATTTTTGCCGACCCACTGCCTTTAAGTGGATCTCTGGTGGTTATCACGTAGGGCTTGCTTCATTCTATCTAACTGGGAACAAAAGCAATGATCTTTTTAGGAAAAGGCTTACTACTGGTACAACCTAATATCTTGTCACACCCGTGGCCGAATTCTCAACGAATCTTGAGGTTAAACTACCTCGAGGGCATGTCTTAAGGTTGATTTTAACCTCAAGGTAACTTTGCTAATCACAATACCTTGAGGTTAAAATCTACCTAGTAGTCAGCTTAGTACTTACTGACGCTTATTCGAAACTTGCCATGACGAATTAGCGGTATATGATGTCCTTTGCTGCTACTGATTTTCCAACTGCCAAGCTGATACTGCTGCATATCTTGTAGGTGCACGTTACCATGTTTTGGCAGGAAAACATCCCAAGGAACTAAGTACTTATGCTTTAACATAATTAAACATAGCATTTTCAGAAGGATCAAAAGTTAGTGCACTTTTTTAATAGTTAGTATTTCTCCTCCCACAAAATCTTCTGGTTGGCTAAGCGCTATTCAATAGAGCATGCTTCAACTCAGATTTGTGGTATAGAGCAAAACACATATAGCTCTTCATCAATGTAGGATTACGGTAGAAAGCTGAGGACGGTTTTGAACCATTAATAGCTACATTGGCTTAAATTGGACACTCAGCAAGCTGAGTTTCTATCACTATAAAAAAAGGTTTTTGATAATTGGTTCCAAGTAAACCGCTCAAACAATCGCTGGGGGCAGGCGGGCACCGGAAAAATTGATTGCTGATTTCTCGCACTCCGCTCGCGGATTTTTTGGAAAGCAATCAGGACTTTTCGGAAGACCGCTTGCTGAGTCAGCGAATTTTTGAGAGACCGCTATTGAATTTTTTTCGCTCTTATCTTTTGCAGATATATTGCTGAATCTCTGAGGAATCGAGAACTCAGCAAGCGGTCTTCCGAAAAGTCCTGATTGCTTTCCAAAAAATCCGCGAGCGGGGTGCGAGAGATCAGCAATCTATTTTTCGGCCCGCCTGCCCCCGGCGATTGTTTAAGCGCAATAACCTCTCTTGAGTGTTTTTCGAAAATCTGATCAAACCATTTGAAACGCGTAGAAACTCTCAGCAAGATTGTCTAATGGGGTTAACATTTCTGAAAACACTGCTACACAGCTTTACAAGCTTGAAACTTTTTTGTATGGCCTATTTCAAAATGGCGCTGTAAGCTGGAAGCTCCTACAGAATTTACAGCAACTAAGAGCGATGAGTGATTTGCTCTATATTCTAAATCCAAGTTGAAGTCTGCACATGGTATCTGCGGCTAATCAAAAGGTTCTCCGGAAAGAGTGTTATCAATGACCGAAGAGTGTGTACTTACATTTAGGACACCCTTAGGATGAAGGCTATGCTTCATGGCTCTCAATGTGTAAGCAGAGTTAAGGTCGAGGTACTATATGATCCGCAAATACCGTGAGTACAACCGCAAAGATTTAATGATTTTTTTTACATAATGTTCTACCCTTGAAGTTTAGTATAAGCAACATTTTGGTCCCAAAGTTCCTCTTCTCCTCCTTAGATCCGGAATAGCAACGACGCAGGTTTCCTGAGGAAGAAGCGCTTTAATCGAACTACCTGCGCAGCTGGCGAGATCAAATAGGAAATCGTAAATATTGAGGCAAAGACGAAGTTGTTTCACGGACGTCCATTTGCCACCCTCTTGCTGGGCCCTGGTATTACATTGGAAAGCATAAAACATGATTTCACGGCTTTCCTTGGTGGAAGGTTTATGCACGAGAAAATATGAGCGTTTTTGGAGCAAAAATTAGATGTGCAAGCAGGACAAAAGTAGTCGTAATATGTTCCTTAACATGCACTTTAATGCAGCAATGATAATAATCAAAGTGCGTTATTCCATAAATATTTTAACTTTCAAATAACTTTTACATTTGAGTGCTCATTTTATTCTAAATGCGGAAAACTTTTTGCTGCAATAAACGCTATCAATGCCTCATCAAGGAGCATTTCGCAAATAAAAAGACAGATTTGGAACGTTTTCTGCTTTTCAATGAAAAAGGTCACTTCGACAAAAAAACGCTTTCCTTATAGGTAAACAAATTTTGACTTATTAGTATTAACATATTTGTCTTTAAACGGCTCCGTTAAGAATAAGTTAGGATTAAGTAGGTGCTTCGAGAGAGTACAACTATTCTGTACAAAGGTAGATTTTAACTCTTGCTATCTTGGGGTTAAGTTAAACCTTGAATGCACAATGGAAAGTTGAAGGAGAAATGATGATTGAGGTAGATTTTTAACCTTGTGGTAAATTGATGAATAAGTGTATGCGTTTCAAGGTTGACTTCTACCCTCAAGGTAAATTTGACCCATGAGAAAATTTCATTGCGATCATGTTGTGAATACGGGTTACAAGCTAAAATGCTAGCTGATGTAAATTTTAACCTTGAGGGTACGTTGATGAATACGGTCACCTGTATGCAAAACGAGAAACACTCAGAAATTTGTGAATATATCTTTAGAATTTTTGAAGCAAGTGCGGAGAGTAAAAATTCCAGGCTAGTCATTTTATTTGAAATCATCACCTATGTATTGGGCTGTTTCAAAAGTTCTACCCGTTTTTGATACCTTTTTTGAACTGCCGATTTTGGAGGAAGAAACAGTTTCTATAAAGAATGCTTAAATCATTCAAAAGCTCTTTTCTTATAGTTTTTAGGCATATTTTCGTTTTCATAGATCTTTGTTCGCTATGTGGTTGCGTACTTTGAAAAGACAGCGAAACAAATGTGAAAATTTTCGTTTTTGCTCTATCGCCGTGAAATCTACAGCCAAAAGAAAAAATTTCTTTTAAAACGTACATAATGTTGCTGGAGACTTGTTCTACGAAACGCTCCTCGAGATTATGGTCCCTTCAAGTCGCATAAAAATTACAAACATATTGCAATCGCGGAACTTTTACTCTATATAGTAAGATTGAAGCTAGATCAACGCTACTAGAAGAACGAATAGATTTCATGGTTTGTCAACGACGAACAAGTCAAAAATGTCAAAAAATTGCATTTTTTGCAGCCTCAGAAAGAGCAAAATAAGTGGGTTTTTTCCTTTCGGATTTTTCATCATAAAATTTCTAAGAAAGAGTTTGATGAGATCCAAAGTTAGCGGTACTGCTCAGTCAACTATGGGCTACACTGTGAGCAGTGCTTGTGCAAGTTAGCTATATTCCAAATCAAGTTATGTTTTTGCAAAGTAAAGGTTTCTACAAGGAGATGTTCCTCGATTTTCGCCTATAAAATCTTCTCCACTGTTACTGCAGTAATCTTAAATAGTGCGCAGAATAGACAAAGGTTTGCAAATTGTAATACAGTTTATAGCAATTGCAAAGATTATTTCTGAGAAGAGTCGGTGAATCGAAGTCAAAGTTCGAAAAGGGCAGAACTTTTGAAACAACCCAGTGTATGCCTACGAGGGCTGTACCAGAAAAAAAATGTGAACGTGTCGTATCTCATATTCAATGTACCTCGTAATCAGAGGATTAGCAAGACCATGGAAGACCAAAGAAAATGTCACATCTGTCTACTTTATCTCTATTTTTTGCATTAGTTAAGCCTTCCAATTTTGTGCCAAATGGATGCTGCACAATAATGATATCTCATTTGCTGCCCATCATGCGTTACAAATACAGAGGTTTCGGTATAAAGTAATACTTAGCTAAACCTTTCCGAGCCACTTCTATTCTTGCTTGGCTACTGATTTATAGGAGAACCTTTTTTTATTCGATCGTAACAGTGCTCATTCTTTTGAGGTGTAAAAAGGTGTTCACTTCAAGAGGTGGTGCATCCCGCATAGAAATGCAAAGAATCCTTTTTGACTAACTCGACCGATTTTTGGCTCAAGCAAGATTTTCTCCAGAAGCCTTTTAATAGTGAACCTTGTATACTCAAATTCGTCGTTTAATCATTAAAGCACCAGGAAAGACGAGTTCTTAAAGTAATTCCTAGCGCAGCTCGAATGTTAAATAGCCTCAATTCACGCTGCAACAACATTCTTTTCTGTCTCTGAAATAACCTTTGAACATACTGCTGAAATAATTTTTTGACTTAAGGTTTGCAGGAGTAATTGAACAGCAATAGTACACAATGTTACCGCTTCTCGTTTTGCTGGCTATCATGATGGCTACGGAGCCTCTCACAGTAGGCAAGTTGACAGCAATTGAGGTTTTTTTTTTAGTATAAAGAATGAAGCTACTAAAGCATTTTGGGACTCAGCAAGTCCCAAAATTAGATTTAGCAACAAAAAGTTTCTCTGGGTTTTATTATGCGTAAGGAACCCAAGACATGATGCGCATATCCGCTATTCTACGCAATTATTTTTTAAATCTTCTCAGAATATAAAATCAAAACCCCTGAAGTCGTTAACGAAGCTGCCGCTCATATAATGGGAAACACAAATAGCAAACCCAAAGACAGTAACAATTCCGTAAAAATGTGATTTTGAGGCACATGAATTGCAGTGAAAGCATTGTAAGTACGAGTCTGTGTTCAATTGATGTGGTTTGTTTTTGTCGTCTGGCATAGCACAAAATGCTCTCAATCGTTGATTCAATGAAATAATTTGGACGAAATGTAGATGTTTCGCTTTTGCAGGCTGGAAACTACTACACGTAACCAATAACTTGTCACTTGAAAAAACTACCAGGTCTGTGCGCTCATTTCGCCGGGCGTTATAATTCTCAGTTATTTTATGGAGTGCTTTGGATTCCAGCGCTTGGAATTTTTACATGAAAAGCTGGAATGGTAAATGTTCGTCAAAAGTTTGTGTTGAATATCCCAAGTATGGAAGTGTAGTTGCTTGTAGTGGCCATGGTACGCACTGCTTTAATTAGTATATAATGACTGTCACGGTATTCTTCTTTAGCGTAAAGTAAACAAAACCACATCTATGCTTCAAATTACGTGCTTATCACTGCTGTCGATTGGTGGACAAGAAAAAACGTTTAACTCAAAGAAAACTTTGAGCGGCTTACTGATTATAAGCAATTTAAAATTCTGTCAGTCTCTCCCAAAAACTTTGCATTATTGACAAAACAATATGCAACTGAAGTCGTGGAAAAGAATCGACTACTCGACTTTTCCTTATTTTTGAGGTAATTCGAAGATGCAGTTTTGATAAACTGCCAAAATCTTCTAATTGCTCTAAAACAAAAGTTTGCCGATTTTGCAACGCTACACTACAATATTGGCATATTTTGAACAACATCGTACCATGCAATATTGCGTTAGATGGGAAACATTCCGATTTTGTTACATTGAAATCAGTCGTATGGCAAAGAAGAAAAAGGAAGAGCTTTCGCTTTTTCGAAGAAAACAACGATTATTCGCATAGTCTCTTCTTTCTTTTCAGCACATTGCCAGCTTTTTTCAATCAAAACAAAAGGAAGGTTGGTTGTAAGTCAGACCAAATAAGAATTTCGAATACTATCTATACACGGATGTACTTACACTTGCTGCTAAACTATTTTTCATACTCATCTTGCATAATTCATTGAACGAAGAAAACAATCAATTGTCGCTGCGGCAAGAATAGTTCCAGCATAGTAGCATAATTTGAACTGTGCATCTCTTTCACAGCAGCTTGCATATTTTTTTGCCCTTCCAAACCGTGTTGAAATTTTTAGTCCTGCAGTCTTTGTCTTCTGCGCTAGGCTTAGATTAGGCGAAAGCAAATAAATCTTTTGGTCTTCCGTAAACTCAGTCAATTCACAAAGATGAATTGTTGAGTTAATTATTGTCGTTTTCAGAAGAGTACAAAGCGCAGCCACTAGAAAAGGATGTAGAACACATGACAGGAGAAGCACTCGTAAACTACATAAACACACACCAAAATTTCTACAAGGTAATGCCATATGGAACACAAAATTTCAATGCCGGAACTCACTAGAAAATTCGAAAACGTCTTTCTTGCAGGCAGAGTATAAGCCAGATATTGAGAAATTTGTGCAATCTCGAATAATGAAGTCAGAGTACCTCAATGATCCCCTCGCTGAAAAGTTGATGGAACGCAGAAAAATCGTTGGAAACGATCCCCTTCCTGAAAGGTGAGAACGACTTATAGTAAAGTTTAGCCAGTGCCGGACATTATCTCCGAAAATTGAATTTGATTCTTTCTAAACATCCTATCACAACTGTAGCGCAATATGGTATCTCGTCAAGTGAAATGTGCTGCCATAGCACGTAGCTTTTCTAATATTGACTGTGCAGAAATTTAGCAATAGTGATTGAGAAATTAAACATATCATTTTATCAAGAAACGAAGCAGCAAAAAATTTGTAGCGTTTTAGCAGGTTTTGCCACCGAGGTTGTGTTTACAAAAATGCAAATTTGGACTCCAAAGAACGAATATTAGGTCGTTCCACAATCCCTTCGCACTATACCTAAAAAATTCATAATTTCTGATATTTTCAACCGATTTGAATGTTTTTGTTTTTATATAAAAGACTAGATCATGCTCTTCATAAAGATGTCTTGTAGGCTTACTAATAATCATTTATTGCATAGATAGGAGCAGTAGAAGGAAAACTTAAAATTCGAACTTCTGTGTAGGGTCATAAAAAATCTAGAGTGGTAGTAATTTGCTAGAAACCATCATGTTAACTGAGTTTTCGTGACACCAGCTAACCAGCAGCTTCACATCATTTTCGCAACGAAACCACGAAATTAACCAATGAGAAACCTCAAAATGCTGTCTTGCAAAGCAAAGTCACTGGAGGAGATCGAAACTTCAGCCATTCTCATGCTCGTCCACAATCATTGCACTTCACCAAACTTGCTACTTGGTGTGCAGCTTTTCCTGCATCCTTTCATAACGGTTACTCCTCATCAAGCAGCTATAGACTAAAGTTTTCAATAGTAGATTATCGAGTCGGGCAGTCGGGCAGCAGAACCAGACCTCGACAGCTCGGGCTTCGCTGCCCGAGTGCCGTGTGCCGGACATGGCCAAACTTGCCATCGGACCACATTGTAAAGTTTGATGAATTAGCGGATTGGCGCTCTCGCCTATACAGGCACTGTTAAAGGCAGCGTCCGGGCAGATATAAATTGTTACATGGACTTCCGCCCTGATAAAGCTTAAGTGGCATTGCACCACTTTGCTTCTGAAGCGAGAAAACCGCTTTAAAGGTGGCGACCTGCCCGCCCTTCTCCATTCGATAGCCAGAGTACGAATATCGCACACTCGAGAATCATAACTTTTCATAGCGATGATCAGTGAGCACAAACTTTGCACTGTTAGAAAGAGCAGATAACAGAACCTACAATACCGACTGCTCCGATTTGTTGCAAGTTTCCGATTTTTATGACCCTACACAGCAAGTTCAAAATTTGAGTAATTTCGTTCTGCCGCTCCCATCCATGCAACAGATGAACATTGGTAACCAACTAAGATGCTGTTATAAAGAGCATGAATCACTCTTTTAGATAAAATAAAAGCGGTCAAATTGGTTGGAAATATAAGAAGTTATAGATTTTTGAATATGGTGCGAAAGAACTTTCAAGACGGTCTGCTATTAGGTGGGTCCAAAAGTTCGTTCGCCAGATTTTCAAAAAATCATAATTTCCTTCCTTCTCGGTGGAATTTCTTGATTTAATTTTTATTTGAAAAGTTAAACCTTTCTCTTTACAACTGTATCTTTGCCATGTAATGGCCTGAGAAAGTTTGAGAGTTAGAAACAATTGTATAAATTTACTCAAGATTGCCATTTTTTAAGCTGGATCACGAAAAATACCGGAAGTATTTCTATTTGATAGAGAAAATTTCACGCATTACAGTGGTACCTTCCCCATAAATTGAAACGGAAAAGATCGAAAGTTATAAGCAAATAAAGAGAATTACTTCAGTTTTGCAATTTTTGAGCGCGCCCAAAAAAACCCAAAAATGTCGCAAAAAAGACGGAAAAGCCAAAAACACGGGTTCTTCGACTTTCTCTTTCTAGTTGAGCGAAAATCGGAACAATCGAGAGCAATCTTGATTTTCGTAATATTTCCGGATTTTCGGATCTCGTTTTTCACGAAAATCAAAATTGCTCTTGATTGGTACGATTTTCGCTCAGCTAGAAAGAGAAGATCACAAAACTCGTGCTCTTGGCTTTTCCGCCTTTTTTGTGACGTTTTTGGGTTTTTTGGGCATGCTTAAAAATTGCAAAACTGAAGCAATTCTTTTATTTGCTTATATCTTTCATCTTTTTCGTTTTAATTTATGGAAAAGGTACCACTGTAATGTGTACAGGGCTCCTAAATTGCAGAGTCGTTTGCACCGGCGGTCGCGCGACCGCGTCGCGCCCGGGCATCAATGGCGCCGCCTCGATCGATGGCGAGGGCGCCGGCAAAATGCCCGGGCGCGACGCGGTCGCGCGACCGCTGGTGCAAACGACTCCGCAGTTTAGGAGTCCTGTAAAATTTTCCTTGTCAATCCGGTATTTCTCGTGATCCAACTTAAAAAATGCCAATCTTGACTAAATTCATTCAGTTATTTCACTCTGAAGCTTTCTCACGACACATGGCAAAGACACTGAAAAAGGTTTCCTCTTTTGAACAAAGATTAATTCTAGAAATTCCATCAAGAAGGAAGATAGTTATGATTTTTTGAAAATCTGGCGAACGAACTTTTGGACCCACTTAATATATTTTGAAAAAAAAGTAAGGACACAACTCCGCCCAAATTCAAAGAACAAGTATGTGATACTGAGTGATTTGAGTTCTTCTATGTTCTTTTTTTGGAAAAAATGGACTCGAGAATGATTTCAATCAAGCGAAATTTAAAGGTTGATAATGAGTGTTAATAGTCATGTACTGACCAATGTCAATAGCCAGTACCAACATTTAAGCAGTAGTAAAACGAAAAATTCAAAACTGCAAAAGGGAAGCAGCTAGAAATTCACTATCCTTCCTTCAGCCTTCTGAATCCCATTTGTCATTAACGCTAGGACATGTTATAAATTTCCAAACGCACATAATTCAAAAAATTTGAGCATTTCTGTGCTTGTGCCTTTTATAAACACTGTCACTAGAATTGAACTATTAGTTGTAGCGAAAGTTTTGCTCACTTTTCTCAAATGAATGTTAACAAGACATTACCAGATATTTATTACGTATGAGACAAGCCATTAAGTAATGCGCTGTTTCTAAGAACTTTTGTACTTTGTAGCCCCACCTTTCAACGTTTTTACCTAACAAAGATGAAATCCGATTACGGGCTATCTTATAATGTTTTTTCTCAAAATTAAAACCAGTAAAATTAAAGAGCAGGTGACCGCAGACATCGTCAAAAAATACTCGACTGTCCAATGTCCAATGTGCTCAAAACTGATCTTGGCTACTAGCATCGTGTACGTCTTGTAGCAATCAGGGCTAAGTGACTCCTAGCAAGTTTCCAAATTACATCTTAGGAAAAAAATCGGCATCAATCCTTCGAATATTCAAGATCAACTTTGCAGAAAGTCATCATAATTGAAACTGCTCATGCGAAACGCGCAAAACTATCGCATGAAATTATCATACAAAACGAAGACGTTCCATATTTCTCGTTGTCACAAAGCTTGCTGTTCATACTCATTTACCTTTCAAATGTAGGTGAGCCTACGAATGCAAAGTTTTCGTGGTGCAACAATCGTATAAAAGTTCTTTACTTTCTCTATGCAGTCGCCTTCATGTTTATGAAACTGGGCCGGTCTATATTAGAGACATACCATGAAATGTGAAGTACACAATTCGATGCATTCAGCTTTCACGCACGCGATAAATGGCCAAAATGCGCTGGAATAATTGGCCACATTCGAGATCAGTCCGGCTGCGGTGAGCATCAACTCTACATTTCTCTACTATTTTTGATTTATAAAAGGAATTTCGCATTCTTAATTGTGCAATTCATTCGCCGTTTACATGCGCATTGATTTACGACTTTGAGCAAAACAACTTCTTATTCTTTTCAGGATCATGTTGGGCTGTAGCAGACGCGGAAGTTATGTCAGATCGTTTATGTATACAATCAAATGCAAAGTACACTGTGAGTATGCGAAAAGATGAAGAATGATTCCTTTTTTATAAGCAATAGTTTTCTTCACCCACTCTTTGTTATTGTAACCTTACGAGCGTTTTCACTAACTAGGGCCTCTTCAAGAATGCGTTACCGTTCATACTACCTAGACCACAAATTTTCATCATATCACATAGACTGTCAGAGAAATAATCGGAGCCTGAAATTTAATCAGAAGTGGGCAAAATATATCTGCGAAACTGTCCTACATTGTGGGACATCATCAATTCATTGTGTTTGAAAATTTTTGGTTTGAGTCAAGAATACTATATGGCAGAGCAAAGGGTTTTGCAATTGCTCCGCGTTTTCAAACACCCTCATATAATTCCTGGAATCAAACATCATTTTCGGGTACCATGCTAAATCATTATTTTGTCCAGACAGAACTTTTGGAGCTCCCACTCGTTTATGCGCTCGTTTAAATAGTTACTATATTTCCGAATTAGAAATTGAAAGAACAAATACTTTCTAGCTTCGAAGTATGTGCATGGACAAGCAAGCCGTGAGATTTTTGTCGCTAAAACGCTACTCGCCATTATTTACCATTTCGAGTTTGCCTCTTATCCGTGGATCAACAACAGAACTGTTCAAACGCCATCTCAACCTTGCTCCGTTCCGTATAGTATTTTGAGCATACAGAAAGATTGCAAACAAAACTTTTGGAAAAAACTAGTAATATGCTGAGGTAATTGTAAAAAGATGCTACTACTACTTTCATGTGTATAATTTTTATTTTATTCTATAACTACACTCAAGGTGCATCAAAAGGAAAAAGATCAAACAGAAAGCTCAAACAAAGCACGACACATGTAGCCTCCCAGTTACAGGACAAACAGAAAATAAAGGATGAATAACAAAACACAAAGCTCAAGACCCATCTAGCGAAGTAAAAAGCACTTTGCACAAAAAATCTAAAGACTTCTTGCATCCTTAAAACTCATGATGACCCCCTTTTTGTGTGTCAGCGAGCCTCCCCGGTAAAAGCTGGCTGACCAGGCCCTGATAGCACTTTTGTTTTGAACAAAGCAAACATCCGAATCGGAGTGGTAGGGATAAGTACCTACCGATACGTTAGAACGAGTTAACCCAACAGAAGAAATCAAGCAAACTATAGATGGGGCCAGGCTACAATGAGATAATTGAATGTTGCTAGCGTAACCCTGATGAAGAGACTCGCTGAAGTAGACATTACTAAGGCATGTTCATGGTTAGTAGTAACAAAACAAAAATTCAAAACTGAAGATAACGGCCTCTCTCTAATTCTATGTAGCCGACTAACAAAACGCAGACAAAAAGATGTCAAATAACATCAGCAACGATTATGTAAGCAGCACGCGGTAGCCGCGAAACAATGCAACATCAACCGGTAGTAGAACCACATGTAACGTAATTACCAGAGATGAACTGAAAAAGACTAACGACAGAAAACATTATCGAGATAAAAGCCGAGTAATTCAACCCGTTTCAACTTAGCACTGAAGCATCGTGCATCCTTTGATGAAATGATATCCCTGGGCAACAACTGAGACCATCGATCGCATCTACAGAAGATATTATTGTACACCCTAGATGAATTAATTTGAATTAATGGCTCTGTAATGCAAATTGAAGCCTCATCTCCTCCCCCGGCAGTGCGTTGTTATGTTGACGGAGAGATAAGCAGTGGTATCAACGCAGAGTACTACTCGAAAGCAAAAAAGTAGATGAGCAATTTTACGACGACAAATAAGGCTTTGTAAATTTAGCTTTTTTAATCGAGCTTCATAATTCGGAGGCCTGTTGTTAGGAGAGAGGCGAATACACAAGAGACGAGTAAAAGTTTTTTGCACCTGTTCAAGCTTTGTAATTTCTTTTTTACGTGTAGGATTCCAGACCTGGGAACAATATTTAAGATGAGGTCGAACAAGTGCTTTGTACAAGCGCGTCAAAATAACGGGTGATTTGCTTTTGACAGTACGGAGCAGCACAAACAAGGACAAATAAGCTCTCCTAACAGCAGCATCAACATGTTCCGAAAACCTCGGCTTTGAATCAACAATAACCCCTTAATCCCTGGCAGAGCAATACGGCCTCAATGGAACCCCATCCACTGAGTCAGTTTCGGCTAACCAGTCACCCATATGCAGTGCAAAACTCTTGCTCAGATTCAAAGTCAAGCTCCATTGCGAAGCCCATTCAACTAAGGTCTCTAGTGATCGCTGTAGGGCAGATTGCACTTCAAAACAGTTAGCAGTAGTATAGACTCCATAAATTTTTATGTCGTCAGCATACATCCGTACCTCTATATCCTGAATGATTTTGAGTAACGATGGAAGATCTAATGTGTATACGAGAAACAGTGTGGGTGATAACACCCCTACCTGAGGCACTCCGCTATCACATCGGTATGCATCCGAAAACTTGTAATGAACCTTGACTGTCATATAACGGTCTTGCACGTAGAAACAAAACCATGAAAGAAGTGATCCACCCACTCCAATAGCTTCTAGTTTACTGATTACGCATGGGAGACTTTATCGAATGCTTTTGAAAGATCAATATAAAGCACATCCAAAGATTTGTTTCGACTAAGAGCAAGATTCCAGTCAAAGATGCAATCAACTAATAGACTGGTTGTTGTAGAGGCTCCACTGACAAAACCATGCTGCTCTGCAAGGATTAAATTGGAGCTAACTTGCCCATAATAAAAGTTTGTCTCTAATAATTCTCTCCATAATCTTGGCAGGTGCCGGTAAAAGACTTATAGGAAGAAAGTCACTGATGAGCTTGGCCCTCTGGACTTTTGGGATCGCTGTCACAAGTGCCTGCTTCCACAACACCGGTATCTCACCCAATAACATAGAAATGTTGAAAATATGCGCCAACAGGGCAGCCAAAGAATTTGCACATTTTTTGTATATGTTGAGGCTTTCAATCTTTTCAGAAAACGATATACAGCAAAGGGCTCGAAAAATAGAGTAGGTAATGTTTGTCGGCGACTCTGCAAAACATTGAGTCTTGGACCTACATGGTTGCCGAAATCAGATGTAAAAACACTAGCAAAATATGAGCCAAGGATTTTGGCCTTATCCTCATCACTTAAGAGAGTGGTCCCATTTTCATCCAACAGTGGTCCCATTTTCATCCATCCTCGGAAGGTTGGCGCTAGGCTTCATTCTGACTCTGACGTAATGAAATAGACTCTTAGATGATGATTTCGCAAGACGACGTTCACGATTAGCCAAAAACTTTTGCAGGTGAAATTTTATATCAGAGCACACTTTCTTGTAAAAACAATTGTTTAGAGGATCATGCACTTTTTCAAACAGGTAATATTTCTGCTGGTTCAACCTTTGTATGTGAGGCGGTGTTCAGTGCAACAGTATGCGGAGGTTTAATAGAGACGAACATGCCAAGTGCATGGTAAAGTATCTTACAAAACCTTTTATAAACGTCAGAACACGATTCATAACTATCAAATTCTGAAAGCCAATCTAACCGGCAAGATAATCATGCAATGCAGTGTAATCAACATTATAATAGTAGAAAGAGAAGATCACAAAACTCGTGCTCTTGGCTTTTCCGCCTTTTTTGTGACGTTTTTGGGTTTTTTGGGCATGCTTAAAAATTGCAAAACTGAAGCAATTCTTTTATTTGCTTATATCTTTCATCTTTTTCGTTTTAATTTATGGAAAAGGTACCACTGTAATGTGTACAGGGCTCCTAAATTGCAGAGTCGTTTGCACCGGCGGTCGCGCGACCGCTGGTGCAAACGACTCCGCAGTTTAGGAGTCCTGTAAAATTTTCCTTGTCAATCCGGTATTTCTCGTGATCCAACTTAAAAAATGCCAATCTTGACTAAATTCATTCAGTTATTTCACTCTGAAGCTTTCTCACGACACATGGCAAAGACACTGAAAAAGGTTTCCTCTTTTGAACAAAGATTAATTCTAGAAATTCCATCAAGAAGGAAGATAGTTATGATTTTTTGAAAATCTGGCGAACGAACTTTTGGACCCACTTAACACGTTGACGACGAGCCATTTTTTGAAGGTCTGTCCCTGTGGACGAACCGTTTCCGGGCATTTTCACAGCCGGCTGCACATATATATGCATGCATCTATGCGTGAGATACACAAATGCCAGTGGGCGGGGCAGCTCCGCCCACTTTTGGCAAGCCCCGCCCACTTCTCAAAAATGCTGGAAATTGCTCAAAATCAATGAATTTGTGCAAATTCCGGCATTTTTGAAAAGTGGGCGGAGCTTGCCACTGAGGGGGTGGAGCCTGCATTACGGGGGTCGGGGTCAAAATTAAGATTATTTTAAGTTCCTCTGTCATCTATGAGCTTTTCTATGCGATTTGAGATCGAAGAATGTTTTTTTATAGAGGGCAATGGAGTGGGCGGAGTTTGCCAAAAAGGGGGCGGGGCCAACATGAAATACTTTCGAGCCTAACTTGATTATATGAACACAAATTGGAACCATTGTGCACATTAAACCTGATGTTTAGGGTGTCGCGCACCATTGCGCGACATCGTCCACAGGGACAGACTGCCTGTCGCGCACCATTGCGCGACACCGTCGTCAACGTGTTAATATATTTTGAAAAAAAAGTAAGGACACAACTCCGCCCAAATTCAAAGAACAAGTATGTGATACTGAGTGATTTGAGTTCTTCTATGTTCTTTTTTTGGAAAAAATGGACTCGAGAATGATTTCAATCAAGCGAAATTTAAAGGTTGATAATGAGTGTTAATAGTCATGTACTGACCAATGTCAATAGCCAGTACCAACATTTAAGCAGTAGTAAAACGAAAAATTCAAAACTGCAAAAGGGAAGCAGCTAGAAATTCACTATCCTTCCTTCAGCCTTCTGAATCCCATTTGTCATTAACGCTAGGACATGTTATAAATTTCCAAACGCACGTAATTCAAAAAATTTGAGCATTTCTGTGCTTGTGCCTTTTATAAACACTGTCACTAGAATTGAACTATTAGTTGTAGCGAAAGTTTTGCTCACTTTTCTCAAATGAATGTTAACAAGACATTACCAGATATTTATTACGTATGAGACAAGCCATTAAGTAATGCGCTGTTTCTAAGAACTTTTGTACTTTGTAGCCCCACCTTTCAACGTTTTTACCTAACAAAGATGAAATCCGATTACGGGCTATCTTATAATGTTTTTTCTCAAAATTAAAACCAGTAAAATTAAAGAGCAGGTGACCGCAGACATCGTCAAAAAATACTCGACTGTCCAATGTCCAATGTGCTCAAAACTGATCTTGGCTACTAGCATCGTGTACGTCTTGTAGCAATCAGGGCTAAGTGACTCCTAGCAAGTTTCCAAATTACATCTTAGGAAAAAAATCGGCATCAATCCTTCGAATATTCAAGATCAACTTTGCAGAAAGTCATCATAATTGAAACTGCTCATGCGAAACGCGCAAAACTATCGCATGAAATTATCATACAAAACGAAGACGTTCCATATTTCTCGTTGTCACAAAGCTTGCTGTTCATACTCATTTACCTTTCAAATGTAGGTGAGCCTACGAATGCAAAGTTTTCGTGGTGCAACAATCGTATAAAAGTTCTTTACTTTCTCTATGCAGTCGCCTTCATGTTTATGAAACTGGGCCGGTCTATATTAGAGACATACCATGAAATGTGAAGTACACAATTCGATGCATTCAGCTTTCACGCACGCGATAAATGGCCAAAATGCGCTGGAATAATTGGCCACATTCGAGATCAGTCCGGCTGCGGTGAGCATCAACTCTACATTTCTCTACTATTTTTGATTTATAAAAGGAATTTCGCATTCTTAATTGTGCAATTCATTCGCCGTTTACATGCGCATTGATTTACGACTTTGAGCAAAACAACTTCTTATTCTTTTCAGGATCATGTTGGGCTGTAGCAGACGCGGAAGTTATGTCAGATCGTTTATGTATACAATCAAATGCAAAGTACACTGTAAGTATGCGAAAAGATGAAGAATGATTCCTTTTTTATAAGCAATAGTTTTCTTCACCCACTCTTTGTTATTGTAACCTTACGAGCGTTTTCACTAACTAGGGCCTCTTCAAGAATGCGTTACCGTTCATACTACCTAGACCACAAATTTTCATCATATCACATAGACTGTCAGAGAAATAATCGGAGCCTGAAATTTAATCAGAAGTGGGCAAAATATATCTGCGAAACTGTCCTACATTGTGGGACATCATCAATTCATTGTGTTTGAAAATTTTTGGTTTGAGTCAAGAATACTATATGGCAGAGCAAAGGGTTTTGCAATTGCTCCGCGTTTTCAAACACCCTCATATAATTCCTGGAATCAAACATCATTTTCGGGTACCATGCTAAATCATTATTTTGTCCAGACAGAACTTTTGGAGCTCCCACTCGTTTATGCGCTCGTTTAAATAGTTACTATATTTCCGAATTAGAAATTGAAAGAACAAATACTTTCTAGCTTCGAAGTATGTGCATGGACAAGCAAGCCGTGAGATTTTTGTCGCTAAAACGCTACTCGCCATTATTTACCATTTCGAGTTTGCCTCTTATCCGTGGATCAACAACAGAACTGTTCAAACGCCATCTCAACCTTGCTCCGTTCCGTATAGTATTTTGAGCATACAGAAAGATTGCAAACAAAACTTTTGGAAAAAACTAGTAATATGCTGAGGTAATTGTAAAAAGATGCTACTACTACTTTCATGTGTATAATTTTTATTTTATTCTATAACTACACTCAAGGTGCATCAAAAGGAAAAAGATCAAACAGAAAGCTCAAACAAAGCACGACACATGTAGCCTCCCAGTTACAGGACAAACAGAAAATAAAGGATGAATAACAAAACACAAAGCTCAAGACCCATCTAGCGAAGTAAAAAGCACTTTGCACAAAAAATCTAAAGACTTCTTGCATCCTTAAAACTCATGATGACCCCCTTTTTGTGTGTCAGCGAGCCTCCCCGGTAAAAGCTGGCTGACCAGGCCCTGATAGCACTTTTGTTTTGAACAAAGCAAACATCCGAATCGGAGTGGTAGGGATAAGTACCTACCGATACGTTAGAACGAGTTAACCCAACAGAAGAAATCAAGCAAACTATAGATGGGGCCAGGCTACAATGAGATAATTGAATGTTGCTAGCGTAACCCTGATGAAGAGACTCGCTGAAGTAGACATTACTAAGGCATGTTCATGGTTAGTAGTAACAAAACAAAAATTCAAAACTGAAGATAACGGCCTCTCTCTAATTCTATGTAGCCGACTAACAAAACGCAGACAAAAAGATGTCAAATAACATCAGCAACGATTATGTAAGCAGCACGCGGTAGCCGCGAAACAATGCAACATCAACCGGTAGTAGAACCACATGTAACGTAATTACCAGAGATGAACTGAAAAAGACTAACGACAGAAAACATTATCGAGATAAAAGCCGAGTAATTCAACCCGTTTCAACTTAGCACTGAAGCATCGTGCATCCTTTGATGAAATGATATCCCTGGGCAACAACTGAGACCATCGATCGCATCTACAGAAGATATTATTGTACACCCTAGATGAATTAATTTGAATTAATGGCTCTGTAATGCAAATTGAAGCCTCCTAATCTTTCACTAGTTGGTACGAATATCCAGTACTTGCTTGCCATCAATCTGTTTTCTTTCCTAAGCACTCGAAAGCAAAAAAGTAGATGAGCAATTTTACGACGACAAATAAGGCTTTGTAAATTTAGCTTTTTTAATCGAGCTTCATAATTCGGAGGCCTGTTGTTAGGAGAGAGGCGAATACACAAGAGACGAGTAAAAGTTTTTTGCACCTGTTCAAGCTTTGTAATTTCTTTTTTACGTGTAGGATTCCAGACCTGGGAACAATATTTAAGATGAGGTCGAACAAGTGCTTTGTACAAGCGCGTCAAAATAACGGGTGATTTGCTTTTGACAGTACGGAGCAGCACAAACAAGGACAAATAAGCTCTCCTAACAGCAGCATCAACATGTTCCGAAAACCTCGGCTTTGAATCAACAATAACCCCTTAATCCCTGGCAGAGCAATACGGCCTCAATGGAACCCCATCCACTGAGTCAGTTTCGGCTAACCAGTCACCCATATGCAGTGCAAAACTCTTGCTCAGATTCAAAGTCAAGCTCCATTGCGAAGCCCATTCAACTAAGGTCTCTAGTGATCGCTGTAGGGCAGATTGCACTTCAAAACAGTTAGCAGTAGTATAGACTCCATAAATTTTTATGTCGTCAGCATACATCCGTACCTCTATATCCTGAATGATTTTGAGTAACGATGGAAGATCTAATGTGTATACGAGAAACAGTGTGGGTGATAACACCCCTACCTGAGGCACTCCGCTATCACATCGGTATGCATCCGAAAACTTGTAATGAACCTTGACTGTCATATAACGGTCTTGCACGTAGAAACAAAACCATGAAAGAAGTGATCCACCCACTCCAATAGCTTCTAGTTTACTGATTACGCATGGGAGACTTTATCGAATGCTTTTGAAAGATCAATATAAAGCACATCCAAAGATTTGTTTCGACTAAGAGCAAGATTCCAGTCAAAGATGCAATCAACTAATAGACTGGTTGTTGTAGAGGCTCCACTGACAAAACCATGCTGCTCTGCAAGGATTAAATTGGAGCTAACTTGCCCATAATAAAAGTTTGTCTCTAATAATTCTCTCCATAATCTTGGCAGGTGCCGGTAAAAGACTTATAGGAAGAAAGTCACTGATGAGCTTGGCCCTCTGGACTTTTGGGATCGCTGTCACAAGTGCCTGCTTCCACAACACCGGTATCTCACCCAATAACATAGAAATGTTGAAAATATGCGCCAACAGGGCAGCCAAAGAATTTGCACATTTTTTGTATATGTTGAGGCTTTCAATCTTTTCAGAAAACGATATACAGCAAAGGGCTCGAAAAATAGAGTAGGTAATGTTTGTCGGCGACTCTGCAAAACATTGAGTCTTGGACCTACATGGTTGCCGAAATCAGATGTAAAAACACTAGCAAAATATGAGCCAAGGATTTTGGCCTTATCCTCATCACTTAAGAGAGTGGTCCCATTTTCATCCAACAGTGGTCCCATTTTCATCCATCCTCGGAAGGTTGGCGCTAGGCTTCATTCTGACTCTGACGTAATGAAATAGACTCTTAGATGATGATTTCGCAAGACGACGTTCACGATTAGCCAAAAACTTTTGCAGGTGAAATTTTATATCAGAGCACACTTTCTTGTAAAAACAATTGTTTAGAGGATCATGCACTTTTTCAAACAGGTAATATTTCTGCTGGTTCAACCTTTGTATGTGAGGCGGTGTTCAGTGCAACAGTATGCGGAGGTTTAATAGAGACGAACATGCCAAGTGCATGGTAAAGTATCTTACAAAACCTTTTATAAACGTCAGAACACGATTCATAACTATCAAATTCTGAAAGCCAATCTAACCGGCAAGATAATCATGCAATGCAGTGTAATCAACATTATAATAGTCCGAGGTTGGCAACGATGCTGAGGGAGTACTGAGCACCAAAAAAACGATTCTATGGTCCGAAGAGCCAAGTGGCGGGAGTACATCAACATTAGATATTTCAACAGCAGAGAAAAGAACAAGATCAAGGGCAAAGCTACCATAAGTAGGAGAGGTGACATGTTGATGGAGACTATAGTGTGGACCCCGGCCAGCTTCCCATAGGTACCTCCGCGACGCGCGCGCAGCGCATGCCTTTAGTGCGCTTTTCGTCTCAGCTCTACTGGACTTTTTTGCTTTTCTCTATTAAGTGACTTTGTTCTGTTCTCTAATTTCTCTATTTCAGGTTAAAAAACTCACGACAACTGCCGTTTATGAGTTTTCAAGAGACTTGACAGTATTGAGCGCTTTCAATCAAAAATCTCTTTTTTCTCGACAGTGAAGATTTGGATGTAGTATATGGGGATGTCTTTTCAATGGCTGCTATTACAGGATAAGCCTGTATATCCGACTATTTTTATTAAAGATGTTTCCAGGCCTTTTTGATGATGCGCCGTTAGGGCTTTGCTTCTAACCTTTTGCTCTCGATCTCAAACCTTCTAGTTTTTGTGGGCACAGAAGAAGAACGTTTCAAAAGTGTTCCTCGACTTTTCCTGGTACCCCTATCACTCATCACTTGTAGTGTTATACTAGCGTCAATGAGATGCCTAAAATTTGAGCGCTAGAAGACGTTATGAATGTCCTCTTAATGCTTTGGCTTTTCTCACGTTTCGTTTAGAAGTTTCCACTTCTCAGTTCACTCCTTTTTCAAGTAGAAGTGCTTTCGTGTTTATAAGTGAAATGAAAAGCCGTCAAGTCGGACCCGCGTTGCGTATGCGACGCGGTAGTACCTATGGGAGGCTGGCCGGGGTCCATACTATAGAAACATCAAAATAATCCAGGAAAGGGACAAAAGCGTTGCAAGGTTTTTTGACTGTCCAGTCAGTTCGAAAGTTGAAATCACCAAGAAGCACTGTTTCATCACAGAGGCATATGCATATGCGCTCAAAACATCAATAAGCTTATCATCATCCATTTTACAAGAGTTAGGTGAGCGATATACCAAGATGAAACGCACTAAGCTCGGTGCAGTTGGAGAGTAGGAGTCCCTTCACAAGGCAACAAACACCTCCACTCCTGCGATTACATCTGTCACTTCTAAACAAAACATAGGGCATATTACCAATCATTTCAGAATCAAGAATCTTTGCATTTAACCAAGATTCAGTCACGAATAATATGTCTGGTTTATTTTCGAAAAGAAAAAACTTCAAAAGATCCAACTTGTTTACAAGACTTCTCGCATTGAGCAACAAATTCTCAATGCCCCAGCATTACCGTGAGCGTTCACATGTTTCCCGCTTCCCTGCGAGGAAGCTGTGGACCATGGACTAAATCATTCCAGTATACCACCCACTGTTTGGTAGCGCTACCCTTATTGCGTTCACGAGCAAGTTGCCTTAGCTCGTAATTCCTCGCTCTCTCCTCTGCTGTCATGCTCTTCCTAATATAAATATTAGGAAAACCATGACTCTCAAGCATATAAGCATTAGAGAGCGTAGTGCGCCAATAATGCCGTGCGGGAAACACTACCCTAATTAACCTAGGTCGTGAAGCGTTCGGCTTACCTAATTGGTAAAGTTCAGTAGGTCAGCATTCCACTTTGAGAGTGTCCAACACCCCCATGACCGTACACTCTAGCGGAGCGCAACACTCGTGGAACGGTAGGCCACTACTCGATTCTGGAATGCCGCTACATTGGGATTTTCTCTGACAGCAGAGAAAGAAGTTTATCGATAATCGGGTCACAATTCCTTTCCTTTATGCTGGCAATTATATCTGCCACAGACATAGAAGAAGTATTCAAATCCCAGGTCTGGCTATCTACGTCAACATTCTTCGAACATGTCTGTGAGCCAGCAGCATTCTTCCTAACACACTCGCTCTTAGGACCCATGTACAAAATGTTATAATCTGGAGTATCAATAGCAACCAATAGGACGCGGCAACCACAAGCGAGACGCAAAAAATCAATCGAAAAAGAAAATTCAGCACAAAGCAGAAGTGATAATCAAAAATGAGTGGTGTGTTTGGAAGAATACAAAAAGGGACAAGGAAAGAGACGATAGAAAAAAACAGCCAAAAACAGCCAAAAAACCACAAAAAATGATAACTGGCAGAGAGAATCGAAACCCGACCGCTCGGGGTGACAGCGCAATACAGGATTCCTTGTAATTTCATTGTTCAGATTACTTTGATCGCAAAGTCTTTTGGGGTAATTGAACTGGTAAATTTCAAAGGAAGAATTCTTCGCGCTACATCTAATGGGAGAGCAATAAAATGAAATGTTCGCAAGACGTGTGTTTATTTTACGATTTTCGACACTGTTCAAGCTATGACTCTGCCAACACAGACTATGCTCGCTGACGGCCTTGTCAAGATTTGCTTAATCTTTGATTCAACTGGCTTGGCTTCGAGAAGGCGGGACTTTGTGACGTAATTGAGGCCGGTCGCGCCCGCAACGCACCTGCGTCTCTCTCGCGCGTATGCTTTTTGATCACTAGCTAGCCTTGATTGGGTCACGGAGCCCCGCCTTCCCAAAGCCAAGCCAGTTGAATCAAATGGTATATAGGCACTTGTCATTACCTTAGAGGCAGTGGATCGGCAAAATAGACCCCTGTCAGATTTTGGTGGTGTTAGGTAGTAGGCCTCCCAAATACACCGTAGCCCCAACCCCACCCTCCAGTTTATGCGCAGTCCCGAAAAGCCGTTTTAAACTTCTACCATCAACGCCCACTCAGTGGAAGCGGGGGGGGGGGGGGCTGGTGAAGTTTTGGAGCTTCTTTACGAGACTTAGCCCATGATTTGGAGGGTGAAGTTGGGATACGGTGTACTTGTGGGGTCCAATATCTGACACTATTATATCTAATGGTTCATTCGACTCACTGCCTCAAAGCAGCGCCTCACCAAAAGATATTGGGGTTCTCGCATATTATAGGCGGTGGCCCAAGTCCGACTTTATTTGCCTAAACTTTGTCTTTATTTGCCTATATTTTGACTTTATTTGCCCAATTGCCCCATATCTAAAAAACTCTCTAAAGTAAGTGAATATGTAAAGATCCGTACCACCTTAATTCTGGTGAGACACTGGCTCTAACAAGGGAAGTTCACTTAGTCGAAGTGGCGATTCAAAAGTTAATCTATACCAATGGATAGAGCTTAAAAAGCTGATCTTAAATTTACCTTCTATACCTGCAATGCTTTGTTCAGAAAAAAGTCTTTTTGAGCTTTTCTAAAGCCAAATTTTCGTGCATTTTGAGTCGCAAAATCATGATAATCGCTGCACCAAAGTGTGCAAGCTTAAGCAAACCACCTAGTAAGCATTGTAGGTCTAATTCGAGTTCATCCGAAGTTTTCGAATGTTTTCGGACCATGCTCTTTATCCACAGGTCGTTTCCTTCCTAGATCACAATTCCTTCAAGTATACAAAAAAACCCAGAACCTCCATCTAGAAAAAACGCATTGCAGATATTGAAAATATACTTGAGAACATCGTTTCACGTTTTCTCCATTGATAGTATCCAAAAAGTTTCCGACGCGTTTTTTGGATGGAGGTCATGGGCTTTTTTGTATACTTAATGGAATTGTGATCTAGGAAGGAAATGACGACCTGTGGATGAACAACATGATCGAAAAACACTCGAAAACGCTCGGATGAACTCGAATTAGACCTACAATGCTTAACTGTAGTTTGCTCAAGCTTGGCCACTTTTGTGTAACGATTATCATGATTTTGCGACACAAAATGCACGAGAATTTGGCTTTAGAAAAGCTCATAACTTTTTCAGAACGACGCATCGCAGATATAATTTGAGATCAGCTTTTTAAGCTCTGTCCATTGGTATAGATCAACTTTCGATCGCCAAAACGACGAAGCGAACTACCCTTGTAAGATACAGAGCGTAAGTGAGAAAAGCAGCAATAAGTTCTTCTGAAGCATTCGTTCAGCCACTTCATTTTTGTAATTTTTGTTTATTCACGGTTGTTCAGGTACACATATCCGACACTGATTTGCTTTCTTGCTGCTCGAACTGCGGCTGGGGGTAAACTACTCAAAACATGGTTGATTTCATTTCAAATACATCCTTAACTCAGATGCGGTGGTGGTTTTGCCGCTCGGGGATGGAAATACTTCGCAGCGTCGGGCCTTTGCACAGGAGGGCCATATGGTAATAAGGTTGGCTGAAAATATACAATTACTACTGAAAGGGCCGTGTAATTTAGAATTGCTGCAAACCATATGCATTCTATCCGTGTGGTGAACATATTAACCAAACCTACTATGGACCATGCCCGTGGGGCGGATGGGATACACCGAGTTGCCGTAAGATGTGTCAGTTTGAATATGGCAAAGAGTATGAAAGTGACAAGTTTTATGGTGCGTTCTTGCCTCTAACAAAACTACATTTTTCTAGAAACAACAGCTGTTGGAATTTCTACCACGCTTCTATAAGAAAAAAGAAAAGATGGTTGTTTTTCCTTTTTCAGGAAACAAGAACTATTATGTCAATGGAGATGAGTCTGACATCAGGAGAGAAATATATAGCAATGGACCAGTGGTCACAACTTTCCAGGTCTACGAAGACTTCAGTTACTATAAAAGTGGAGTCTATGTGGTATATGGTTTCGCAAATTTGCTGCTCTTTACTTCAGCCTTAATTGTAAGATGCTTGTTTCAAGCAAAAATATGGAGAACAGAAAGGAGGACATGTCGTAAAAATTATTGGATGGGGTGTGGACCGCACAAATGGTACTATACCTTATTGGCTGGTCGCGAATTCTTGGAACACTGACTGGGGAGAAGATGGTGCGCATGCAACATATAAATAAGTATATTTTGCTAGATAACGATAGATACAAAAAGTTTAGGTTTCTTCCGTATAATTCGTGGTCGCGGTGAATGCCAAATCGAAACATTTGTGATTGGCGGAGATATAAATCTCAATAAAACTCCTTGGTAACCAGTAATCTGAATAAATGTTTCCGCAGGCACGATTTACTACGAATTTTTCCAGAGTATTTATAAAAGTTTGCATATGTTTGAAAATGCGCAGACTGCGGCATACCCCGCGTAGACTTTATCAAAGACTGTCTAAGCTTAATCATTGCTCTTTACCGCATTTTCAGAGACCAGAAATTATTTTGTCTGAGCAGAGAGCCATGGTGCCGGCTCTAGATGTGATTTTTTAGATAATCAAAAACATAATAAACAAGGTCAGCAGTCCACAAAACAACCAAAAAAGTTAACGTCCGTTGCAAGTGTTCTGTCGTCATATAGGAAAATCAAAATTTTCAAGCAAATAGTACACTCAAATGGACAATATTGGTGCCATTTCACGCGAATTTTGAGGTGTCAATAGAGGAATATGTGTATGTGGCTTTTGCTTGCAGGGCTTGTAGGTTTTTGTGGTGAGAAGCTATAGAAAAAACACCGAGTAGTGATGGCAAAAGCATGAGACGAAAAGGTCAAGTAGATTTCAGCTCGATATAGTGTGCCCGCGGCACTTAAGAAATGCGGTATGTCGACCATTTGCATATTAGTGTCTCAATCTAAACTTCTAAAGGGGATGTAAGCAGCTCAAAGACATCCGAGCAAGCGCCTACTTAAGTTTTTGCTTACTTGTGTCTTGCCCGAAGGCGTTCATTTTACATAGCCCTGAAATCCATGAACTCCCATTCTTGCTGGGACACTGCCGCTAAGCCTGTAGAAAAGCGAATATGAGTTGAATGTATAAATAATATATTGGAGTCTCTGCCTAATTGAGGTGGTTTCGCAACATGTTTCACAAACCAACAAGATTCTTTCTCAGAGGGAGCTTGTCCAAATAAGAAATTCGATTAGACCTTAGAAATAGCGCTAAGCGTTTGAGACTACTTAGAATCGGTCCCGTACAGGGTTGAGCAAGTGGTCAGGCACAATTCCTTCAGAGACTTCACACTCCCTTCCCCTCCCACCCCCCTCCCCCCGCCCCTAAACGACCCTTCCGCTTTACCTCCAGGACCTCAGGCTGTAACATGTAAGAGGACGTATTCGAGGCGCACAGCTACTTACTTTGACTCTCACTCTTGATGAGGCTTTTGTCCGCGGAGCGCGGCAACTTCCTCGGACTTGAATTCTAGATTTCTGTCGTGCATTTCAACCTTTGCTCATCTTCTCCTTTCTTCCAGTGATAGGCTTTGTTTATTGTTGTTCACAACGAAGTCAATAATCACAATGTCTTGTTTTCTTCAAACTAAACCTACCTAACCCTGATATGGACCTGATATTTGCACCGTGAATAGTGTCGAAGACGATGTAAAAGGCATACGCAAGCCTCGATGTAGGTGGCTTGAACAGCGGGTTGTCAGCATTAAGCACTGAAGTACGTAAGAAAGAGAAAGTAATCGTAAGCAAATTTTGAATGTGACAGGTAGATGATACTCCTACGAAAGTCTCACTCTCACCCTACTCTGCTTTCTCGTAATTCGCAATGGTATTTTTCATATGAAAAAAGTAGTATCCAAAATAAATTCATCGGAAACACCATGTTCACAACTTGAACTCACAGGAAAATTACCTAACTTAGGTTGACCTTTTGAGAAGTGACTTACATGACTGGAATCAGCTTAAAACGCTGTTTCAAATCTGCTATTCTTATTGTTAGCTGCGAAGCGTCACTCTGAAGCGAGTTATGAGCATTTTTTTAAGCAGAGTTTGCGTTGACCGACTTACGGATGCTACAGTATCAACATCTAGGTGCATACTTTACAATGCCAAATGACCCATCTCAATATTATTTCGATTTTCCACCATTTTTTTAGGCAGATTTTCGTCTATAGGCCTTCTTTCCATATCTAATTGTATGTCAATGACACTTACTGCTAATAACTCGCTTTAGAGGAATGATTCCCTGCTAAGGACAGCTTGGAATCGCGTTCCGAGCTGATCCTTAATATATGTGTTGCATTTCAAGAGCCGACCTAAGTTAAGTGACTTCCCATGTCGGTGTAACAAACACGCAACCGGAGTTAGTATCAATTTAGCCAGTTACGATAACCTAAATAAATTCCCCTGTTCATCTAACCAATAATTATGTGCTTCTAGATACCGCAGTTCATGGCCATCATGCAGGTAGTTTGCGATAGATAGCATACGCAATGCGTGGAGCTTGAATCGCTCAATACTGAAAAACCGGAAACGGCAAGAGCAGTGCACAGCGTAACCGCCATGTTCTTGCTTTGTAGAAAAAATTTACACGATATTTTAGCCGGAAACTATGCTTAGGTATCATTCCCCAGACCATTTTTAATAAAGGATTGGCAGGCCATTCGTGGAACAAATAAGGCGACAAAGAAGCACCGACCCATGAAAATGACGGAAACGAAGAGACATACTTATAAGTAGTTATGCAGCGCAATTTATGCAAAATAACTAATTACAACAATTTTGTCATAGATTGAGAGCATCTACGTCAACCTTTTAGTACAGTCGAGTAGATTTTCTGCTTAATATAGCGTGCTTGCACTGTAGGTGTAATGCGGTAGAATTTGCGCGTGAAAATATGTTAAGCGGAAAATCTACTCGACTGTAGCTAGTATTTTCTAGATTTCTAGCCATTTTGACACCTCGAGTGCAAGTAGTCGACAAAAGTCGAGGAATGCTGCGCAGGACTTTTCATGACAATATGAGAAAGAAGAAGATACACAAAGTTGGAGATGCAAGAAAGAATTCGTCCGAGGAGGTTGCCGCGCTCCGCGGACAAAAGCCCGGCCAAGGGCGACGTGCCAAAGTAAATAGCTGTGCGCCTCGAATACGTCGTCAAAGAGGACCTACTTTTACTGGAAGGTTCTCGTCCCGTGGAATTCTGTAGGCACGCCTTTCTGCGATTGCACGACTGCGCACTACAAGCAACTTGACAGCAAATTTTGGATCTGTAGGCCTGTTTTTAGAGCTGTAATCTCCACACGGGTGGAGTGTTTGGCTTCAAATCTCCAATATAGCAAGAGCCCTCGAGCTCAATACGCATACTAAAAAAGAGGGATTTTTGAATACTGTAGGGAAGTTAAAGGGGTCAGGAACAAGGCTACAAAAGCTCAGGCAGCCTGACCTTTTAAAGGCTTGTCTCTTGCCTGACCACATTGAGTTCAATTATTCTAAAAAGGTTTTTCCACCCAATTTTCATGTATTTCGCTCGCTGGACTTGTTTAGGCCTTGTGGTAATCCATGGAATCGCAGCATTCAAGGTGAAAGCGCCGGCTGGACTTTCGGCAACACTTCTTGACCATTATTCCAGAGCGATGTGAAGCCTGATTTCTAGTATAGACTGGCAGAAAACATTACTTTATTACGAGTATAAAATCTGACTTCTCTCGCTCTTGAAACCGAGTCAATCATGTTTGATAATCACCCTTTTTAGACTATTAGAAAACTAGAAAATGCTGTAGCTGGTTTGTAGAGTTCATAGAGGTGATTTGACATGCTGATTACAAATGACACCCATTCTACACTGCAAGCTTCCTTGTCACCCTGTGATATGTCAAAGTAAGAGATGAAGATTTGGATTTTAGTTGAAACTTCGATTGTGCAATCAATCAGTATGCTGTTCACGACTCTTCCTTCAGTTTGAGATTGCGATAATCACCGGACTAGCGCTTTTCTTTTCTTCTTTAGCTCAATCCTAGCATCTTTTCAATTTTCTGAACGGATTCGATTCTCAATTAAGACTCCCTCCCTCTCAATTTTACCCCCATACGACTCCCCAGGTCGGTTACGCTTAACGCCAACTTCACCCTTGTCCCTTAGCAAACCTCCGCATAGTAGCTCAGCTGAAGCAGGCGTAAGGAGATCTCGCGGCGCCTCAGCCATGTATCAGTTGGGCCATCGTTCTCGGTACGGACGGTTTTATAGACAAGAAGACCATACGCGGTTTTAAAGGAAAGCAGTATCAAAAAAAAAGATTTCGCGTAACAAACGCGGAGATAAGAACATCTCACAATGTTTCAACTCATAAGCTACTGCCGGACGAAGCGCAAAGCCTGGGGACAAGCGCGTTTTTAGTAGCCGCAGAACGCAAGAGGTACAAAATTGATAACGGTAAACGGTAAAATCAATAGAAAGATTATTCGTTGTTCTCAACCTAGGCAGCCTCCTGAAAAAAGGCTCAAGCATTTTGCGAGAATTTTATCATTTCCCAAAGACAGAATTTTTTACCTCCATAGCTGTAAGCAACTTTTCATCGGTCCTTTCCATCCGTACGCTCGAAAGTCGTGCAAATTTTTGAGCATTCGTGGTGTCACTTCAGCTCACGTTTCCTTGAAGGCAACCCACAATTTTAGTCTGCGCCTTGCGAACACGTCTGCGTAAGTCGAGTCTATGACAGGCATCGTTCTTACGGATCTGGGGCAAAAAGGGTCAGAATATCAGCTTACGAGACTTACTTGAGAAGGTGAGTGCAGACTATCTGCGCTGCTGAATCTTATTACGGGTCTCAATCTAGTATTACGTTTATAGTGGGCAAAAGTAATTTTGAGGTGATGGGAACTTCAACGCTGCTTTTGCATTTGCTATTTAAGGCAATAAACCTCTTTTTTTTTGAAGGATTAAAATGCATTCATACTTTGTTTTGAAAAAAGATGTTCGAATTTCAAAAGAGCACCACCTCCTTTCGGCAACATATAGTCCTCCACCTTCTGCCCTTTGATCTTTCTTCCCTCACTATTCACACGAGTATTTATTCTACCTCGTCACAATAGTCGATACAGCGTTACTATAGAGATTCTTTAGATAGACGAGGTAACCGTATTCGCAGAGTCCCCTACGATATCGTATCATATTAAAAAGTATGAAGGTGCTATGGCGGCCGGCCAAACGAAGCAGCATGAAAACTATAATATTCTAGAATGTTGTATAGGCCGTCCGTGCTGCTTACGGTGAGCAACCCTATTGCGTACATTGAAGACAGTTCGCGACTGGAAGAAGCGCAGAGAAAACATGCGGCGAGAGTGCACGA